CTTTGCCTCAGGGATAATTATCACAGCATCATTAGAAAGCAGCGGCCTCATCTTGGTGTTTTAGTTTTCACAGCATCGCTAAGAAGTTCAAGCTCAGGCTAATATCTATGAAATGCTGGACGGGGGTATTGTGGCCAGAGTGAGTGTGTGTGTCAGTGTGTACATGCATCAAGGTGTCTGCACAATGCAGCTGAGTACATGAAGCCAGCAACATCTGTGAAGTGTTCATCACTTACAGAATGCTTCCTCATTGACTTTCACGTATTGATTTTTTGCGCTTGTGGCGAGTCTTTGGTTTTAAATGGAATATCAGTGTAACCTCTTGTAACCATCTGGCTGTGGGTGCGCAGACGTTAGTGCAAATTGTCTAAATCACTACATGTGGAAATCTATAGGAAAAAGTTTTTTTTAATACAAAAAATGGATGAATACATGTCATCTCATTTTGTTTATTGCAGGGAGAGGGGAAGTAAATCAAATATTCACAATAGCAATTTTGTTTTCCCCAATAAACAAAGTGGTGCCATGAGGCTTTACACTAAGAGTTCATTAAATCTGTATGGCCAATCACAGATGCTACACTGAATAGTTTGGAGTATGCTGCGCTGTGATAGGCTGCTCCCAGTTGCCCAAATATACAGAGCAATAAGCAGCTTTTTACAACACAAACAAAAAGCAACTGTAATATATCTGCATTTAAAATAACAGCGATAGTTTTTAATTTGAGTTTTTAATGTCATTAATGTGCTAATCATTTGTCCCACTATTGAAATGATCAGCATTTAAACCAAGACAGTACATTACCAGAATGACTCAACTAATATGGACTGTAGCACTACCACTATACAGTAAACTGACCATCAGCCTGTGTGTTACAGACTCTCTGTGTGAACGGATGTGTGATATCCCTCCGTTTCTTTTCTTATCGTAAAGTCACATGAAATGGTAACGATTTGTGACCACAGGGGCTTCCTGCTTGATCCCAAGCCTTTCATCATAAAACAGAGTATAAGGGGTGTCTCTCACACACACATACACACACACCCACAGATCCCATCAGTAGGTCAAAGCAACGACACATTTGAGGACGACCTCACCGGGGACAGAGCCACTTCCCATCACACCATAGTATACTGTGGAATTTCGCTCGCTGGGTTGTGTGTCCTGTTACAGAAAATAACAGCACATAAAGGTTTTATCATGGGGAGTGTGTCGGGTCACTTCTAATCTTTTAGGGATGCACTTTTTAATCCTTCGGGGCCATAGTGTAATCCCATGATTTTTGTGAGCCATGGATTTGATACATTATGCTGCTTTTGATGAGGAAAGTGTACTTTAGTTTGAAAAGATGATTATAATATTGGAATTACTTTTAGAACTGAGACTGTGCTGGCAGCAAAAACAGATGTCATATCTATACACCATTTAGTGATGTCAGCATCTTCTCTCAAGATTTATAGTGATATGGAAGTTCCATGTTTGCATAACAGATAAACCTTGTGCACTCTTTTGCTGTGGATGCACAGACAGAGGGTCAAAGGGTCATAGGTGCAAGAATCTTGTTTCCCATGTTGAATATAAAGGACCTGCTGTCAGTCATTAAATGAGAACACTGTCACCCTCCCTGAATTAAATCCTAATGTCATCTCTGTCCTTGTCTGCAGCTGAATGAGGTTCATATACTCTCACGGCAGAGGATTTCTATAGTTAGCTCAGAACAGGACAGCAGCAGTGACGAGGGAATGTTTGTATTCCCACAACAGGAACGTACAGAATGGTAGCTTGTTTTCCCACAATCCACCATGCAGTCAGTGAACATGTCTCTCTATCGTCAGCCCGTTCTGATGAATCACCACACGCCCTGCTGCGGCTCAGTGCCACATGCGTTTGCATCACGCACACATCTTACGATAAAGGGGGGTGCGAGGGAGACTGTTGCTGTTGTTCGTGACACAGTCGTCACACCAGCCAGACTTCTGTGCAGCATCACAAGCATCATGATCCCATCCTCTCATTCCATGCTTGAGCCTGACACGTGTGGCAGGATGCACCATGCATACCAGCCACAAGTTTTAGCTGTAGGATGCAGTTACCTGATCTGCTCTGCCTCATTTGTGTCACACTTCCTCTCAGCCGCGCATATTGTCGATGATATCCCCTCCCCGCCCTCTTCACATTTAGTTTTTCTTCTTTTTTTTCCTCTGTCTGTGTCACTGTGGACGAAATGCAAATCTAAGATCAGCAGAGTGTATCATGGCAGAGCTGTGGGGGGCTCAGAGGTATCTGCAGAGAGGCTATTATAGTAACAGTGGCAGCTGGAGCAATGGGGGAATAATGCACAGTACGAAATTTAGTGCTGCGCCACTGCTCTGTTGTACTTACTGAAGGCTGGTTTTAATGCTGACAACGTTAGCATCATGAGGCAGATGCTGATGGAGCGCACCATGCTCACTAGCTGCCATAGACATTTCTCTGTTTGGACAGGAGGGACACACAAGCCTAAACAGGAGCAGGGAAATGTGATACTTGTGTCAAGATGAGTTAGATCTCATCAAAGGGTAGTTTGTTAATGTTTGTTGTAGTTGCTATGTGCACGTTCTACGTGCATGTGTGTGTTTCAGGTGTTGGATTTCAACACAACGTCCCAGAGGGCACATTAACCTGAAGCCCTATGAGGACATACTGAGAACCAATGTGAAGCATTGCTCAGGCAGCCAGCGCAGCACACATAAAACACACTCAGACGCAGACATGCACAAGTGAATGCACACACAAATACACATACACATATACATGACACACCCCGCTATCATCATCATCAATTCACTGTTGAACGATGTTGCTCACTCGCCCCCTGCTCCACACTCTCTCCCGTCCACTTTGTCTGTCCCCTGCTCCACCATCTCATCACTGCTGCCGCTTCACTATGGATTTGTGAATGAAGTGGCACTCAGATAGTGACCAGGAGCATGTTGTGAATAACAACCCTCATATGTTTCTCCGGCCGGTCTGAATCACGAGGTGACAGGAGAGATTTGCTGTGAAGTGAAAGGAGAGGTCACTTGTGTGAGCTGGCTGCATCACAGAGACTTTTATTTTTGTTTTTATTAGTGTGCTTATGATATCCATTAGAGATTTGTTGTGTTTCCACTACATCCTTTGTGCTACCACTGCTGTTCATGCATAATAAATCCCATCTCTTCATCTTTTATCTTGATTTGTATTGTATCGTATCTTTTTTATTTAGCCATGAAAACATATATATATATATATATATATATATATATAAAAAATATATAAAATATATGTATAGCTGAAATTTATATTGATTTGACCAGTGAGAGCAAATCAGACTATTTTATTTTTAGACCTGAAGCTAGAAGATGCTGAAACAATTGCTTTCCTTTGTATCAATACTAATTTTATCAGTTGTTGAAATATAATTGATAATAATAATAATAATAATAATAATAATAAATAGTGCAGCTTTGAAAGGGTTGAATTAGCCAATCTAATAAAATCATGTACTTGCTGTGTAGTGTTTTTTGATTATGGTTTAAGTGGATCAAAAAATGCTGTTAGTGTGTCCTAAAGGAATAAATCTTCTCCCTGGAGCTGGTTCTTCACATCTGTGATATTCCTTAAATGTTCAACATAGAAATTCAACACAGAACACAAAAAGCATCTTTATCCACGTGCTTCATCACAGAGCTGAAATCTTGTGGTCTGTACATATATTTTCCTCAGACTGTGATCCAGTAGGCAGGGACCAAACCTCCTCTGTGGTTCAGTGAATCAGCCAATCTCTCTTGAGGAGCCCTTACCGTGGCCACTGAACAAGGCTGGCAGCAGTGATTTATGAAGCCATTTATGAAAAGTTGTCACGTAAAAAATTAAGGGAATGCTTCACAGAGCTTTTTCCTCACAAATTATTATTTTAGCGGAAAAGTGGGAGAAATGTAGGAGAAAAGTGGCTCATGAATAATTGATTCTGAACAAAAGAATACATGCATTAACACACAGTTAGCCTCCTCCAGGCGCTTCATCCACTTCCTGGCAGGTTTACATTCTGACAGTCAGACAATGAAAAGATTAGTGACTGATAATTTTAGAAAAAAGAGCTCTTGATTGTAAAATACTTCAAAGTATTCATCACAATATAACTTCTCTTCTGTTCATCAAGACCAAGATGCATGATTTTAGATGATGTTTGAAATAAAAAAGATATCACTTTGATAATGTTATGAATTTAATGTTCATTGTTGTGTCATCTTGTGACATCCTGTTGTTTAGAATGATTTACAAATGATAATGTTTTAAGCACCTATGTCCAGAAAGTTAATCAGTTAAGATGCTATCAAAATTAAAAAATGAAAGTCCTTGCCTTAAACAGTAAACCAAAATAGTTTGTGTAAGTCTATGTTAAGACTGTGCAACCTTCTAAATTCAGGATTTTGACTGCAATAGTGTTTTTCCAATCTGAATACATTTTTACATATATCAGAAAAAGCCATGTGGTAGAGTTCTCTGCATTACGTGCCATATTGGTAAATAGGTCAAGATATATATCTCTTTAAAATATTTCCTGTGAAATAGAGTTCCAGCCTCATGCAAAATGTGCTAAAAATGGGGGAGTAGTTGGCCATGCGTCTATTGCAGTGAGAGGAGGGTGTGGTGCTGCATCCTGCTGCTTAGTCTTATTTCTCTCTCTCTTTGTGTGTATGTATGTGTGACAGAGACTGAGCTGGCTTTCATTAGGTTTTGTCAGGAACTGAAGCCCAAGCAGTGCAGGACAAAGAAGAGAGAATATATAGACTCCAGGCTGAAGGCTTCTGCCTCAGCAGAGTAGCTGTAGTGAGTGGCTGAGTGAAGCACTGTGTAACACTTCTCTGACTGATACTGAACATTTCCACCTGCTGTATATTTCAATAGTGTATATTAAAAGAATCATAGAGTTCATCACTCAATTCCGTGTTTTGTTCCTCCTCTGTGATCTACAGGAAACGAAGCCCATCTGCATCCAGGGATCCAAACCAAAAATACGACCAAAGGGAGGGGGGGGACCACTCACAGTATGCCCCGACGGACGGCGGCATGCCCAGATCACCGTCCGACTATGGGGATGGGGACCCTCGGCGGGCTCCGCGGGGCCCACACATGTACCCAGATGTGGATGCGGCACGGATGGGCTACCGGGACCGGCGGGGCCCTGGACGCTGGCACTCCCAGGAATACCCACTGGACCAGGAGCTAGATGGACCCAGTGAGTATGACCTCCAGAGGCAGCGCCAGGAGGAGTTCCAGACGCGCTACCGCAGTGACCCCAACCTGGCACGCTATCCTGTTAAGCCACAGCCCTACGAGGAGCAGATGAGGATGCATGCTGAGGTGGGCCGCCTGAGGCATGAGCGCCGCCACAGTGATGTCTCCCTGGCTTACACGGAGCAGGACGAGCCTGGGCCCATTCGGCTGTCACGACAGCATCTCACCGAGCGCCGGCCGCCTATGGTGGGACAGCGCTCCTACTCTGTTGACCGGTCCTCCCCAGGGCCAATGGGTCCTGGCCTTGGAGGTCACAGAACCTCCAACCACAGCCCCCCAACGCCGCACCGCAGCCCTGTGCTGGGTGACCGATCCGGAGACCTGCGGAGAGGAGACCTGGGTGTGGGTGGGGATCCAATGCGGAGGCAGCAACACCATTTGGACCCCAGTTCAGCTGTCCGCAAAACCAAGAGGGAGAAGATGGAGAGCATGTTGAGGAACGACTCTCTTAGCTCGGACCAGTCAGAGTCAGTGCGCCCGCCACCCCCCAAGCCCCATAAAACCAAAAAGGGTGGGAAGATGCGGCAGGTGTCACTGAGCAGCTCAGAGGAGGAGCTGGCCACTACACCGGAGTACACTAGCTGTGAGGATGTGGAGATAGAGAGTGAGTCAGTCAGTGAGAAAGGTAGGAGCCACACACACCACCAGCGTCTCTGTCTGCTCTGTCTCTGCATAGCTTCATTTAGTGCTAATACTGCTCAGATACTTTGTCATGCAATTGTAAAGACATTTGTTTCTAATACTAATGGTTAAATATTTCTTGGAATGTCAGATTTCATTGAATTATCATTGATTGATACTTGCTGTCTCTTATTGATATTGACTTTGATGTGATTTTTTCAGCTGTTAACTCAGATATAACCTTCAGATCCCCTGTCTACAGTCTTATATGTGATGTGTATGTTTATATGTTTATATGTGTATTTTTATGTGTACAGCTCATTATTTTCGGTTAAAAGAAATATTAAGAATTCATCAGCATTTATTTATTAACAACAACAATGTGTGAACAACATCAGCAACAAAACAATCTGGACAAACGTTTATGAAAATCTAAATCTGTAATGCACCAAAACATTTATATTTGTTTCTCTGGACTCTGGTGCATAATCAGCAGCTCATCTCCTAGTTTCCCTCAGTTTCTATTTTCTGATCATGAAACAATTAATTCTCTGACATGTGATTAGTGACTTTGATTCAAACAGATTCGCTCCTTTTTTTTTTTAAATCTCAGCCTTCACTGTAACTGTCCAAGAAACCAGAAAATAATGAGCACCTTTGGGTTTTATGTATGTTTCCTGTGAATTTACTCTAACAGCTCCAGTGCCTTTGAGGAGGAGGCTCGTGCTCACATGAGCCTGATATGTTTCAGTGTGGATGGGTGTTTCGTGTGTCTTTACAAATGTAATGCTGCTGCTCTCAAGGCCTTATCCTGTTGCTCCTGCTGGCACACTTCTCTGTGACCTGCCTCAGCTGCTTCACTTGATCAGTCCGCTTTAATGGACAGTGTTACCTAACAGACAGACAGGGGAGCAGGGAGAGGTCCGTGGTGTGGGTGTCTAGTAAAACATGCAGAGCTAAGTAAAAAAACAATAATTCAGTATTTTTTATTGAGTCGTTTTATGCCATGAATATTACATTAATGAATGGATAGGTGATAAAAGTGCAGAGGGTGATGTCTTCCTGCAGTTAGCCTTGACCTCTTCACTTCCATTCTGTTTGGTTAACATCCATATTATAACTGTGTATAGGACTATTCAAACACAAAGTAATATTACAAATATTTAAAAAGCTAAGGATAAGTGGTTATGAATGGATTTCTATAAGAAGTGGGTTTAGTTTATTGGTATTGGTCCTGTGGAAAACAAAATTAAGTGAGATCAATCATTGCAAATGTCCTACCTGCTTCAAGACACGAGTGCACTTTTGTATAAACACAAACTGGCAAGTGAACAGTCAGCCCGACTGAATTAAATGTCAATTTGCATAGAATCAACCTCAAATACAATTGTTTGGGCTGTTGGCTTCTCGACTGCTCCACCTGACAGCTGTCGTAATTGCAAATTGATTGTATTGTCAAACCTGTAATTATGGAGGCATTTACCTAAGAAATGTTTAAAGCAACGAAAGTGAAAAAAGGAAGGAGGAGCGGCTGACAACAGGAGGAATAAAAAGGAAGGAGAGTACAGTAGCACTGTTTGCTTTTGTAAGTAACACTTGACCAAAGCACCTGCCACGTGTGAGAAATGTTTGATCTAGAGATGAGCGGAGGAATACAGTGGGTCTGTTATGTAACTGTTCTCCTCACTAAGGGAAGCAGCATCTGCGCTACATTATTGATGTGGGAGTTTCCAGGTTTCCAGGTAGCCATGAAACAAAAATAGGGAGAGAAGCAGCTTGTTCTGAGGGTCTGTTCTTTTCTGTCTCTGTCTGTCTGCCTCCTACATGAGTCAGATAAACGGAAAGCAAAGCACAGAGTTTAACCATTGACCTGAATAAATGAAGCTTTTATATAGAACTCGGTTGATTACTTGAAGCAAGTAATTTATTTAGGTTTAATGTACAGTTTTATTAATTTATGACACCATTAAGGCTGCTGAGATATGGTGCATATAGGGAGTCTGAAAAATTGTTCAGAAGATTTCCCTGAATTATTTATTCGAAATCAGTGTCCTTGTTTGCACTCTTTCAGTCGACTTGATTGTGTAATAAACAGTCACAGCAGAGACGAGATCAGGCACAGATTTGGACGTAACATTTTGGATAGATGTAATATTCTGGAGAGTATTAATATAATCAATTAAAATCCTTCTATAATATGATCAGATCCAAAATCTGTATTTGTGGTACAAAAATAGCATGAGTGTAGAAATGGCATTGAACCAGGTTGTGCATCAGTTTGAACATCCACTTTACAATCCAATAAGCTGACGCCATGAAGGAGTCTTGGACCGTAACATGCAAACCAGCACGATTTGATTAGCTTCCTCAGAGCAAATCAGAATGAATGAGAAGGCAAAAGAGGCAGAACAACCGCGCAAAGAAACTGTCAGTGGACATAGTGTAAGAGAAGAGGGATGAGGAAGAGGACAGAAAGCACCTTTTATGTGAGCCCGTCAGCATCTTGCGGTTTGTGTACTCAGCTTGACGGGGGCAGATCAGGAGATGGGTGTGCAACGGTAGACTAAGCAAGGTGCATGTCATGCTCTTAGTACCTCCGATTCCCTGCAGGGGCCACTGAGGCTGGAGGAGGGCTAGATGGGATGGGAATGAGGTGAAAGCAAAGGGAGGAGGAGGCTGGAGGAGAGAGGGTGTGCCTGCTGTATCTGGCTTGGCTCGTGCCTGCGAGCACTAGAGACTGATTTATCACGATGGCCTCTCCCTGTGTTTTCCTCTGTATCGATCCCCCTGACATGCAGCCTCATAATAGTGCAGAACAGACAGAAAAGGAGAGGCTGGCTGGCTAACTACAGCAAAGAGGTGGACATTGTGTCGTGACAGCTTGTGTCACATCGTCATCAAATGGCTTTTGAGATTGTTTTTTGCTCCTCAGTAAGTCAGTTGGATTGTCAGTCTGTAAAATATTGATAATTCACCCTTTTTCACCATAAGCTGCACTGCTTCAATAATGATAGAAGTTCAATTTAATACCATGTGTTAAGATCGGCCTCCAGCAGAGGTTTAACACGACATGGTTGTACCTTTGTAGCATGGTGACTGCTAAAACACACAAACTGTTTCACCCTTGCCTCTTTTCTGCTCTTGCCCCTTGAATTGTAGTAAAAACCGCATCAATAATTAATGATCCAATTAATAGTTTACACTGGTTTTTATTGAGCTGTCAAAGTGATGGAGAGCCTGCTGGTAGTGAACTCCGCCACTGCCTGCGCTCTGCCTTTGCCCTGAATCAGCACTTTGTAGGGGCCTCGGAGTCGGGGCGAAGCGGCAGGGCCGGGCGCAGACTGCTGATGCTCACAATTTATGGCCGTGATGAGTTTCCTGCTCCCTGAAAAACCACACAATGCCTCGCTGGGGATCAGTGCCCAATTGTGGTGTGCCACTGTTAATAAAGCTTCGGGGAAATAATGGGGAGAGGCTGTACGCGCCTCCATGCTGGCGCCCACTCAAACCTTCTTTAGCAGACACTGGGCAGGGGAGGGGGCTGCGATGAGAGGAAGAACAGGTACAGGTGGAGGTGAAACTGTGACTAATATAACCTTGTGCAATCCATTTTTAATTTAATTTCAGACTCTAACAACAATAAATAATAAAACCTTACAAGACTAAAGATTAGAGATTAAAAAACATCAACAGTCAAAGCAGCAATGAGTTAACACGATGAACAGGTAATCAAATGTTCACCTTCAGGGGGATTTACATCACATGTCTCTTCCCCTCTCCGATCATGACTGCAGGCCTTAAGCCGTGTGGACTATCATTAGACAAGTGACTTCTCCAGTGGAGAATGTCTCCCACTATGACCTGCTCTGGTGTTAATGCTGCTGACAGAATAGCAACTGAGAGGCAAAGAGGGTAATCACTGTTGTCAGCTGTTGGTTCGAGGTGCACAGGGGGCAAAGCCTATCTGCAGACATCCATAATGTTTTATCACACAGCTGATGGATTGTGAGAGCAGACAGGAGGATGGAGACCAAGTATTATTCTATGGGCACGTATGAATATGAATATTATGGATTACTAGTCAAAATAACAAAGTGCAGAGATGCTAAAGATGAACAACATCACCTCAACACCAGTGGAACATATTTTTAGCCCTGTGATGCTGCTAAAACAAACCAACTCCAAACAAGTGATACAAAATACACTTTTGTTTTAGTTCCTAGAAAAAGCAATCACAATGCATTCATCTAATTAATTGATGAGATGTAAAGAATAAAAAATGACCTTGCTGAAAAGACAGCGTTAGAGGTCTGAGCTCTCAGACCTGGACGGAGGTTTTAAGCAAACCAGCATGTTCGCCGAAATTTGGCTACTGTGCTCAGTTAACTGCACGGTCTGTGACTCAATAAGGCTCATGTTTGCCCTCCACTTGTCAAACCGACAAGATACTGAGGCTCATGTTGTTCCAGATGGGCAGGTCAGTGTATTGAGGCAATATTTGTGTCCACAAATGAAGTTGTCATAGATAATATGGTTAGTTGTTGTCAGGCTGTAAATGAGAACGTGTATTAGCAAATACTCAGGTGAGTACGTTACGGTGAGACAAATCTGTGACATCAAGACTCAAGTTGTAAAAACAGAATCTTCATAGTCAGTGTGTTAGGACCTGCATTCCTCCATCACTTGTGTTTTTTTAAGGGACTGGAAGTTGCGGCTGCATTTATTCACAGAGGCACTATCTTCAGCATTCTTCCTCTTTGCAGCGTCTCTTTTTCATTTTGAAAATCCCCTCCTCTTGACCCCTGTGTGCGTCAGTCCCCTATCGCCTCGTCCTGTACACTTAGAAGCATATGCAGTCTATTTTTATGCCTTTCCATCAGACTTCCCTGATTTCCCTGAGATTGAATTCTCGGCCAGATAATGCCTGAAGGAGGGTTGCCTTGTATAGATCCATTAGGTTCTGCAGCTCTTTGCAGGGTTAGTGAAGTGTGAGGAATGTGATGTATATTGCTCAGGGGCTGCTGTTTTCAGACAGCCTTACCTATGCCCGCGGCTCCATGGTTCACTACAGCTGCATACATCATGTCAGCACCAAATAGATTTCTGTGATGTTAAATGACTTATCCTGTATGTGCTTTAATAAGGGCAATTTCATTAGGACCACCTCTTAATTAGGGCCCGTGCACCGAAAGGTTTAAAGTAACACTAACAGGATTTTTTAAAACTTGATAATAGCAGCTTCAGAATAAGTTTGATGGTTCACTGACTTGAACCATCACCCTAAATGTCTGTTTTAGCTCTATGTAACTCTGGCGAGCTGGTACAATCTCCTGTGAAAAGCATGTAACTAACTGTTAAATTGCTAGAATCAGGCCCAGCAATTGTAATAGTAATGCTGAACTGTAGATCAGTTAAAAAGACTTAGAAGCCATTAAAATGCTGTATCCAGTTAAACTTTTGAAAGTATCAAGAATTATAAACAGAGTTTTGTGCATTTGTTACACTGGCATCTCTTCTGTTTCAGGAAGCTGGGGGATCATGGGTAATATCCAGCATTCAATTGTGTTTCAGCTCAGTGAGTGGAACTACACAGTCAGAGCTCCACTCAACACATCGAAAGGCTTTTGTTTTTTCTCTGCATAAAACCACTTAATCACTCTGACATGGAGCCCAACAGAACAGAGTCCCCACATGTGGCTGCAGAAGGTGCTGTTGTTCGGCAAAGGTTTCACAGTGTTGCTTTAAAAATCAAAGAGACCCTGGCCTAAACGTTGTTTTATATGAAATTCGAGAAGCACATCTACAAAACTGTCTAGAAGCCATAGCCTGAACCCAACAAGAAATCCATATATATATTGAAGTGTTTCACAGCATTACTATTTCAGTAAGTAGAATCCATGTCCATAACTTTCATGTGCTGATCCATCCCAGGTGCGAGGTCCCTTTAATGCTGCTTGGAGCTCTAATTCACTTGATTACTGAAATGTAAAATGACTTGCCAGTGTAACTGGATAACATTTAAATGCCCACTGCCTCCACATAATGGGATGTTAAATGCAGAGATATGCTACACACCAAGGTCTCGGGACAAAGAAATCCTCACTTTCTCTGCAGTCGTTCTCCAGCCCCTCTCAGACAACTGAAATCATTTTTCCATTTAGATGGCCTCAACCATCAGCCCTCTTTGAATCTGTACTGCTTTCCATTGGGAATTTTGGTACTACCTTTGGATCCAATATTTTTTCACTCTTTTTAATTAGCTTGGATTTTTAAGCCTCTTAATCAAATTGAAAGTGCTCTCCATCTCTCTGCTCTGTGCATCCACATGGGAAAACAGGGCAAATCCTGTACGATGACAAAGTTAGCTCCGCAGACCTGCTTTTCTTTCAGGTTAGATACTCACAGTGAGTTTATATTTCTGTCAAATATTGCATATTCAGACTGTGGCTGTTTTGTATGTGCTGCAGCAGATAGGGTTGCAGGTCTTGATTCCTCCTCCTCCTTTTACCACACTATCAGTTCTGCTCTTCCTATTCAGCTGGATTGATGAGAAAATGAAGCAGTTTTACAGAATCACCCCAGTCTCCTCCTGTAATGCCCAGTCTGAAATTCTCTAGGCTGAGTCCACGGATGCTACTACAGAAGTTGTAATCAGAGCCTCATCTTTAAAAGCTCTCTCTGGTGCACTTTAGATTGAGGTCAGTTAAGGCTGTGTGGAACAGCAATCTAAATCCCCAGTTAAGCACATCAGAGAGCTGCCCTGCTCCCTCCTGCAGATGCAACTATGCTGTAGGATAAGATGTTGCATCGTTGTCTGCAGATTTGGACTGAAGGACCCAGCAAAGAGTTTTGGAAACAGTCTGGGAATGAAAGTGGTTATGGGTTTCAGCAGAGACAGGAACTGGCCATTGAAGAAATATCAGCTGTTAACATCATATGACAAATTTTAATGTTTTTAAATCTCAATGTGTTTATAATGGAAACTAAATAGATTCTGCGCCTGTCTGTTTTGAGTTTACATGAAGTACCTTTAAAGGTTCAGTGTGTAGAATTGAGTGACATCTAGTGGTGAAGTTGCATGTTGCAGCTGAACACCCCTCACCTCACCCACCTCTTCCAAATATGAAAGAGAACGTGTGGTAGCCTTAAGTTGTTACAAAAATCTCAAAACGTGATAGTTTCTGCTAACAGATCCCTTTCACCTAAATCTTACACACTGAAGCTTTAGAGTTTCCTGTGATTTGTTAGTGGAGCACATGAGGCACGATGACTTCAGCTGTCTTGTTAGCCTCGCAGAGGACTTTGCAGGTTGCTTTGGATTCTAACTATGTCCTGAGGCTTCTGTGTGAGAGAGTGATCGTTGGCTTGTGTCTTTTCCTCACTGTACAGTGTTAAGGTGTTCCAATCAGTATTGATTACTGATACTTTGTTGTTGCATCTTTCTTTCTCCACACAGGGACCGTAGACTTGCACATGATGATCACCTTTTGAGTTTGAGCAGTGTTTGAATGTGTGTGAGTGTTTGGACGTCTTGTTTAGTCCTGAAAGTGTAATATGTGCGTGTGTTAATGTACGTATGTCGTGGTTTGTGGTGTCCTCACCGGTCCCTCTCGCTGTCCTCTCTTGTGTATGTGCATCCTCACCCCCTCCCCTCACCACCTTACAGGAGATTTGGATGGCCATTGGTGGGACCATGCGTCTTGGCATAGCAGCGAGGCCTCCCCAATGTCTTTGGTGAGACATGTGGAGCCCTGCCTTGACCCCCTTCCCCCCTCCCTCCTGCCTTTTAACCCCAATCTCTCTCTCTCTCTCTGTCTGTCTCCCCCACCCCAACCCCCTTCTCCTAGAGTCTTTTGTCATTTCATGTTTCCTTCGTTTTATTTACACCTTTGCATGTTGTTTTTCTGTTTTTCTTTCTGTTTTTATCCCACACCTGTAGGGGACAGTCAAAGGGGAAAAAGAAAAACTATTGAGCAGGCATTTATGTCCGAGCCGACACACACCTTATCTGAGAGGCAAAAGAAAATGGTGCGCTTTGGGGGACACTCATTTGAAGAGGACTTGGCATGGTGTGAACCGCAGGTTAAAGACTCGGGAGTTGATACGTGCAGTAGCACTACCCTAAACGAGGAGCATAGCCATAGTGAGAAGGTACTGAGACAATCTAGCCTGCATTTTGTTATTATTATTATTTATGACCTACCCATCCAGTCTTTGTTTGCTCTCTGTCACTAAGTGTAAATAGGTGAGATGTTTGTTATTTTTTATTTTATTTCACGTTGTATAAATTGATTTCTCTTGCGATTTCGTTCCTTTTTATTTTTCGGTTACTTTTGGCTCCACCTTGCTCGGTGTTGCCGAAAAAGTCTTTAGGGGGCACCCTCTTTGCTTGCTACTTGTACTTGCTGTTTTTGCTCCCTAAACAGAAACTACACATCTTACAGTAGTTGTTGAAGAAACGCATTGACGCACAACCTCTCTGTTTGTCATGGCACACAGGAATGTGGGTCTCTCCTAGTTGCATGCTCGTTCTCCTCCGTATGTTGTGTTCTTGCTCTGCAGCGGTCCTGTTTAGTGCAGTAGGAACACCTTTACACAGGCCCGTCCCTCTCACTCTGCTGCCCTACCCCACAGCACCCAGTCCAGACAGAACCTGCCCCCTGCCCAACTTTCCATTCACTTCTATAGCAAAACTCAAATTATTGTAAAAGCAGAAAACAGGGAAGATTGGACTTGTTTTGCACAAAAAACATTTGGTTTTCTTTTTTCCCTTCCACTGCTGCATCTGTGAATTCACCCTTTCTGTGTCTCATGGCTTTTTTCTGTGATTTCTGTTCTTCATCCTTCTTCAAACTGACGCATCATAGTCTACCTCATTGGTTCTTGTATCATAGATTATATTTTCCCCCTTTTTTTTCATTGTCTGCTATCCCCTCACTACTCCACTTGATGGTGGTTGTATGTGTGTAGTGAAGAACCAGAGCGAGACTCCGGTCTTCCTGCTCCAGTTTGAAGAGCTGGTTTGAGGAGGAGTGTTGTGGCTGCTTGCTTTACTCTGCATGGGGCGCTGCATGAAGCTCACTCCACCTTCACGCTGGCAGGTTCACACAAGCTCTGGAAATAACACTGAATACATCTGTCGAGTCATATTTATGAGTTTTGTCTTGTCCAGGATTACCATGAGGAACATAACATTCCTTCATTTAGATTTAATTAAGCATGTCGTTGACCAAAAATTCCAAAAAAAGTCTTGATGATTCAACAGAGTTTGTGTGAACCTTCTTCCCTGAGTGAATAAATACTACCCCCATGCCCTCTTTTCACTATGAACAGTTGTCTACTTTGGTCTTAAGTGATCAAATTCAAGTGGATGAGTTGTTAAACGAAAGGTGTGTTGTTGCTCTGACCTTGTAGCACCCGGTGACGTGGCAGCCGTCCAAAGATGGGGATCGCCTAATAGGGCGAATTTTGCTCAACAAGCGAATGAAAGATGGAAGTGTGCCTCGAGACTCAGGAGCTCTGCTTGGTCTGAAGGTGAGTTTATCATATGTCCGTTATACCTAAGAATTCTGTGGAAATCTGATGGCGTCATGTGATTTTTTTTACTGGTTATATACTTTCAACTTAATATCAAATCTTTTGTAGCTGTGATTTCAATTTGTGGCCTAATTTTTTATGGGTGTCTTACTTATTTTCGCCTTGGCTTCTGGTTATTGATTACATCATATGCTACTAAATTTATTTAATTTTTATTAGTGACTTGATTATATTCATGATACATTTTCAAAGGCAGTATTTGATATTGAGATCTATCATTTTCTCTACGCACTCACATTGAGCTAATTCAGTGAAGTGCGTTCAGCCTCTCAGACGAAACTAGTCAGCCTGCAACCAAAAATTAAATATATTATTTGTGCAGTTATTGCAGTGTGTATATCTTGTCCAATCACAATACCCACATATGTATTTATATTGTATGATTACATATTTTGTATTGATTTAAACCTTCGGAGTGTAATTTCATTGCAGTTACTGAAATGCCAAAGCATTTAGAATACTTAGCATTGCTGTAGATATTGGTTTCTGTTCTCTTGTTGTCTCGCCGTTGCATAAATCTGTGGGCGGTGCACACTGATAGAAAAAAAAAGCTGAGCAACTAAAGTCCAGAGGAGCACAGTGGGCCACGAGGAGGGAGAACAGTGAGCAGCAAGATGGGGAAAAATCATTACTGATTGAATGAGCCTCCTGAAATGGCATGTTTGTGTCTGCTCAGTGCCTCTGCGCGTTTCTGTCGGCTCAGCAGCAGCCAACCAACTCGTCTATCCAGCCTGTCAGTCCATCAGTTAGGCGGCCAGCCCTGCCCTCGCTGCCTGTCTCCCCCTCTCTCTTCCTCTCTCGCGCCTGCCTGTTACATAAAGCCATTTCATTTAGCAGACTTCCCTAAGCTCCTTTGTATGTTGGCATTCAGCTGCCATTAAGAAGGATTTTTATTTGTATGATGCCCATGTAAGCTGAGCAGAGTGGAGTACGACAGCTTCGAACTGTACAGTACAGCTCTAGCCCAGGGCCCTGCACTGTTACAGAATCATGGAGCAGCATCAGAGTGTGTCTCTGGGGAATGAAACATAACCATGGACACTGAGATGCACTTTTACCATTGACCCTCTATACTTGTCATGCTTTTATTGGGGACTCATGGGTTAGGGGACTCAAGATCTAAAGATGGGGAAGGGTCCTTGTACTCCTGCAAACTGCAACACACATTCCATCTTTGCAAAGAAGAGTTGACATGGCACATTCACACTTTGGTTACAGTAGCACTCACAGCAGAAGTTTACACATACACTTCATTGCTAATTCCTGTACCCTCTCTGCTTCTACAGGTTGTGGGAGGCAAGATGACAGAATCTGGTAGACTTTGTGCTTTCATCACTAAAGTGAGGAGAGGAAGTCTAGCAGACACTGTTGGACACCTCAGACCAGGTATTGAAAACAGACTCAATATTCCGTTAATGGAAGTGAAATCAGAGAACTGAGTAGTATTCAGCATGCTCTGAAAGCATGTAATGGTATCTTCCAAAGGTTGACAACACAGGTGCACTTACAGTGCCTGCACCACAGTTTGAAACATTTCATGTGATATTCAGTATCTCTGATGTTTTTGCAGGTGACCAGGTGCTGGAGTGGAATGGGAAGCTTTTACAAGGAGCCACATTTAAAGAAGTTTACAATATCATACTAGAATCCAAGCCTGAGCCGCAGGTGGAGTTGGTGGTCTCACGGCCTATAGGGTGAGAGCTCACAAATAATGACAAGACAGTTCTGGTGGAAATATACAGTAAGATGCCTTCACTGACAGTCACGACCTGCAGTTAGTGCTGAATTTGTATTTCTTTTTTGAATAACACATCAAGCATTGTAATTTACCTTCGCCAAGGACGTTATATTTGCATTTGTTGTTTGTTAATTAACAGGATTACACAAAAACTACTGGAGGGACCACCACAAAACGTGGTGGAAGGATTGGTCAGGGAAAAACTCATCAAAGTTCGCGGCAGATCCGATTTTTCCCCTCTTTTTTTAACATCACGAAACAGGACGTTTTCCCACATTTTAATTGATTTCTCAGATAACATTTTATGAAAAAACTGGCATATTAAGGGGAATGTTATCCATGAGTGAATGAAATTTGGTGCAGATACAAATAAAAATTCAGATCTAGTGAATTTTAATTTGATAAGGGGACTGTTTGGCCTTGGGGGAGGTATGTAATCTACTGAGTGCCATTGAAATGTGATCAAGTCAATTAGAACAAAGACTTTTTTTTACATTAGACAAATACAACATGCACAACCCAAAACAAAACTTCACATCAGGCTATGTCATCTTTTGACTTTATCACCACTCCACCAAAATAAATGATGGTGCTTTAGAATTTATCAGTTATATTTATCAGAGTAACTTGAATTGGAATATTGAGACATGTAGAGAAATCCAAGTCGGACTATAGCTTGTGTTCTCGAAGCCTGGATCATACTCAATTCCCCAGTTGTTTGAAAAAAAAGTTTGCTTTTGTCAATAGTGTAGTTCAGGGGGTAGAGCGGTCATTCCCTTACTAGAAGCTCGGCAATTCGATCCCAGTCTTCCCCCACTCACATGCCGATCTCTCAAATCTCAAAACTGCCCCCTCTCATAAAGTGCTGCACATAGATGGATGTGTGTGTGAATAGGTGAGTGGCAAAAACTGTACCATGGAGCACTTTGAGTGGTCATCAACACTAGAAAAGGTCTATATAAATACAGACCATTTACCATTTAAAGTGCAGTGTATTCATCGTTAGCTCAGATTGGTCCTCCCCATCCCCTTCTCTTCTGTCTCACACACTTTCTGTCTTTTTTTCTTGCAGAGATATTCCAAGGATACCAGACAGCACACATGCACAACTGGAATCAAGTGAGTATCCACATCAGCCCAAAAATATCAAGTAAAGGAAATGTCTGAGAGAGTGGCTTCTGTCTGTCTGCCTCTCTGATGTCTTGCCCTCCTCTAGTCTCTCTTCTTGTGTGTGTCTCTCTATCCCCCCTCTCTTTTATTAATGTCGTCATGTTACTAAAACTACAAACTACAACCAACATCACTATTTAATAATCGAATCACTTTCCCTTGCACTCCGTCAGGTTCGAGTTCTTTTGAGTCTCAGAAGATGGATCGTCCGTCCATCTCCGTCACATCCCCCATGAGTCCCAGTATGCTGAGGGACGCCCCCCAGTACCTGTCAGGACAGCTTTCAGTAAGTGGCCTCAGCATGACAACACATGAGATCCTCTGGAGGCAATGTATTGTTTGATAGCTTGTGCTGAAGTCATATGAATTAGTTAGAGAGCATATTGTTCACATTATTTGACTCAGAATATATCTACAATCCTACGTTAGGGCAACCAGGCACAGCTCCTCTCTCTCTGCCTGTTCAGCTGGCCCTTTACCAACCCAGCACAGGATTATAGATCAGGTTACTGTGAGTGTGTTGTCCATTATCTAGTATAAAATCCCTCTTGGGGTGAATGGGTAAAAGGCTGCATTAAAGCAAGAGATAAATCAACACTCAAACTTAGGATCCACAAGGGAAATACCTTTAGCATTGAGTAACACCTCTCTCACAACATCGATATTTATGAGAAATGTTGGGTTTGTCTGCCACTGGGATTGAATGTAAACATTCAGTCTGTCCCATTGAGTCATTAGAACCACACATAACACAACTGCATCCTGTGAGTCAATCAGAATAAGCTCCTCACCACCTTGAAACCTTTCTTGCCTTCTTACCTTGTTATATTCTGTAGGGCTTAGCTTGAAATCCATGACCAGCTAATCACAGAAACAGTTCACTGAATAAAACACCTAAGAGCTGCAGTGCTTGATGAGTATTTCTACACAGTGAAGAAGTGCAAGTGTAATATTTTTGGAGCGGTTCCTAGATTTTGTTTGGGGACAATAGCAGAGGGTTAACGTCACTGTGACGCAAGCTGTGAAGCAGAGGAGAAAAGGTCCAGAGAAGAAAGAGAGATATAATTGTGAGCCATTGATCATTTTGTCAGAGGGTCTATGAAGAACAGAGCAGAGAAGTAATCTTTGATAAAGTAGAAAGAAGCAGGGAAACCAAACATAAATGCGAGGTGAGGAAGAACACGCTTACTGACCTAAATCTCCCGTCTTAGACTACAAACATCTGTTGTTGTGTTTATAGTGTATAGTGAGTTTTTGTTGTTGTATTGTGGGGTTTTGGTTTTATTGCATTTTCTTTTCTGTTCTTTTCTTTTTTTCCTTTTTTGCCGTTCAATTTTGCTTATCCAGAGCCAAAGCCTTAGTAGAAGAACAACGCCTTTTGCCCCTAGGGTCCAGGTAATGGGCCCTGTCTGCAGGGCACAATCTCTATTTGGTCTTTGCTCATTGACTGTTGACTGGCCTCTTTTCTGTTTCCATATCTTGGAAAATGCATTCCCCGGGGAAATGGCAGCTTCAAGTTTCCCTTTCAGTGTAGTGCATTGTGTCATTTTTCTTCTATTTGATTTCTTGGTATCACTGTTCGGATGACAGTTATTATTACTCATTTTAACCCATTCACATCATTATTCTTAGGTGGTGCATGCTCAACTAATCTGAAAACATATGAACAGATACTTTTCCATTGCCTGATATCTTCTACTGAGTCCAGTGACTGACAGCATCTTGTGTTGTAATTTTTTGGGGGGGATCTCCACGATGGCAATGCAGGAAGGTGTCGCTATTCAATTTTCCTGGGTTGTTCTCTACTTCAGTTTACCTGAGCTCAAGTGTTGTCAATTAGCAGATCATGGTAATGGGTCTGAGTTTCATGAAGACACCAAGTTGAAAACCAAGCATTCTACTTTACAGTTGAGGGTTAAAGAATAAGCAAATGTTGCCTCCAAAATAAGAAACTTCAAATCAAGCAAACCTACAAATATTTTCCTCCACTGGGAAATTTGTCTTTTATTTTTTCATTGAGTCAATCAAATATATTCAATAAAAATAGCAGGCTGTTTCTGTGGTTTGTGTTTTACAATCACTTAGTGTATTCTTCAGTAAGTCAGGCTTTTGGTTCAAAAGTTTACTCAGTTGAGCATTGGGTATTTATTTATCTAATTCTAAGTGTTTTACAATCGCTTTGTGTGACTGTATTCATGAGCCAGTCTGTGTTAAGGTTAATTTTACTCCTTGGAGCATTGGATATTTATCTTGCTGACATTATTTGTTCTTTTGCTTAGAAGTGTCCTCAAAAAACAAAATATTGTTAGTACGCATAATAAAGGTTGAGGCTGCCTGTGGGATATTTTTTACATTTATTAGTGTCTAAGCACATGATATACAATTAGAATTGAGGCACATATTGTTCTGAGCTTGTGTGTGCTTATGTTTGTAGTCTTGGAGAAGTGCACATATTTTTACTGTATATGTGCACATTTTACAATTGGACGATGTTACTACACATAATTCAGTCATTCAGCTTGTTCTTCAGAAATATTTTTCCAATTCACACACAGACAGTATATTCATATTTTGCAGTATGTGGTGTTTTTGGTGGACTACAAGTTTAGAGATTATTTGGTACAATTTGCTTTCCTGCTGTCTGTTTTTGCAAACACCAGATCTGTTGACTTGTCTTGGATGCTCTCTCTTGCGTTGCTGCATGTGTAGCTGGTAGCATTAAACAGCACAGACCCTTTTCATAATCACTTTTTAAAAGAAGTATGGACAAGATCTTAGAAGGTTTTATTTTTCTCATTTCATCTACTTCCTTTAAGGCCTCTGTTGGACGTTTTTTTCTTCTAAGTGTCCTCTTCGGAGTCCATACTTCCCTTTTAGTGTGAACTGTCTTTAGTTCCTCTTGCAACAGCATGATTGATTTCTCTGCATCAATGCCCATTGATTATCTTAAAAATACATTATTAGATGCATCATCAACACCACTGGTAGACAGTGTTGTTTCAACAGAGCACATGCGGTTACTTTTAGAGCATGCTGCCTTCAGTCAAAAGGACATTCAGGCCAGCTGCATTCAGTCCCATTCAATAAACTTAATTCTGTAACGGAACATAACCACATACACCATATGCACAATGAAAAAACACGTCTCTCTCTCAAGTAAGATCTCTAGCTGTACAGACTAAAACCTCACTCAAAACGTATGATCTTACTTTGACATCCCTAGCATTAGCATACTATAGTAACCACGACACGTAGTTCCATGTTTCAATCAACTCTTAAGCTTTGAAGTTCCCCACCAAGCATGTGACTTAACATCATCTTGGCAGGTAGACACCTTCTTCCTTTCCTCTAAAGGGTAAATACAGGAGAAGACCCTAAGCTGTAGACAAGAACTGTTGCTTTAGGCGTAAATAAACAACCAAAATATATATGGAAGTACTCAATTTCTTACTAAATCCAGTTGTCTTCTCCTGCATTACTCCCTCTGTGCTCCCTCTGTAACTCCCATTGACCCTGATCTGTCTCTCAGCAGGATGTCTCTGCTCTGCCCCTGCAGGTCAAACTGTGGTATGACAAAGTGGGCCATCAACTAATCGTCACCATCCTGGGCGCCAAAGATCTGCCACCCAGGGAAGATGGCCGCCCCAGGAACCCTTACGTCAAAATCTATTTCCTCCCCGATAGAAGGTAGGAATAGGAAGAGTTACCATTTGCTGATCTGCCTGTTAGCCAGCACACTGATGTAACACCATTCATTGCATTCAGAAGGCATTGAATTGGATGTGTGCAGTTACTTTGTTGGTTGTTTGGTGTAGTTTTGTATCTTTGAAGGAGGTCTCTCTTACGCTCTGATAAAGAATACAGGAAGTGGACCTTGTCAGAAAGATCAGCACAGTCGTCTTACCACCTCATCCTCACCAGCATGCCCCATTGCTGTGCTCTGTCCTGTGTCCTGTTATTGATCTGTTGTATTCGTGGTTCTTCTCTACCATGGTTGTAAATAAAAACAGTTTGAATTATTGTTCCTCCAGCGACAAAAGCAAGAGGAGAACAAAAACGGTAAAGAAATCCTTAGAGCCCAAATGGAACCAGACCTTTATGTACTCGCCGGTGCACCGGCGGGAGTTTCGGGAGCGCATGCTGGAGATCACACTGTGGGACCAAGCCAGGTTGAGGGAGGAGGAGAGCGAATTCCTGGGGGAGGTAAGAAAACCAAACCCCACCCATCAGGGACACTCACTGACAGTATCTCAGCGCAGCATCTCCTAAACAGCCAAAGCCTTAATAAAGCTTTTGGCCATTTCAAGGATTTTGACAGTCTACAGTTTGTCCAACATGAAACATTTTCTGTGTAGAACTATTACAATGAATTAACACACCTGAGCAAGAGAGAAGGGATATTTGGGGATTGACTCTCACTGTCGCTCATGGTTGTTTTTCTCTGATAGATTCTGATTGAACTGGAGACGGCTCTCCTGGACGATGAGCCACACTGGTACAAGCTCCAAACACACGACGTATCCTCCATCCCACTCCCACGTGCCTCCCCGAACACGCAGCGCAGGCAGCTCCACGGAGAGAGTCCAACAAGGCGGCTGCAGAGTACGTAACACCTCCATCCCTGACATGTTACAAAACTCCAGTGTTATGCTGAAGAAAGCAGCAAATTGTTTTCATAGATAAACAAAAAATGTGAAAGTATAATCTACAAAGTCAGTAAAAACAGCTTTTTTAGTTGATTTTCAGTAAACTGTTAGTTATAAAGAGCTGACAAAGATATGGAGCTATTTTGTAGCCCTTTACCAACAATGTAGTAAGTATTTTTCAGGCTCCTAATAACTCAGCCTTGGAGTTTGCTCTTTTACCTGAAGTAAAACCATCACTGTCATACTCACCAAGAGTACACATAAAGAGTGTGTTAAAAGGCTGTGCCACCAAACATATACAAAAGAGATCATAGCTGATAATAATAGATCCAGGCATTTTTAATATTTTTAATAATAATAATACTCCTAATGTTTCTTTTGATTGATCGACACATCACATTACTCACTGTTTTCCTTTTATTTCTTTAGTTGATTAAAGCGTTATGTGTAGTAGATGCATATCTTGTCTTTGTCATCCATGCTACATCAACCTTACTGCTTCTGCTTTTACAGACAAAGGCTCATATTCATACAACTCAGGTAAAGGACCCCTGCACTCGCAGGCAGTGCTGCTCCATGGGGCATCTGAGTGTTCTCCTGTCCTTTTTGAAAGACACATCCTCATGCCCTGATTCCCCCCCCACACCTTTTTCCATGGAGGGTGCACGCCTCTGCTGCCTTACCTGGATTTCAATGTGGTGAGCTGGTGTAAATGGTACACCACTCATTTGAAATCCACTCAGGGTGGCAAACATGTGCACGCTCCACGGAAAGAGTGATTTAGGACACAGTGGTCTGTGCCCCTCTGTGTATTCACCCTTTGAATATGCCGTGATCCCACCTTGCAACCCTCAACAAAAAATGCACTCGATCCTCATCCTAAAGTGGTGTTTCAAAAACCCAGTGCCCGCCCTGCCAGACACAGTATAATGTGACTGTGTCCACTTGCTTTTCCTGTGTTACCTTCTGTATATATTTTATTATTTTGCCCTTGATAAATATTTTCCCTTTGAAAAATGTTGGCAAATGTCTGCAGCCCATTCTGATTTTTTTGTGTTTGTGTATTTTTAATGTGAATATGTTCATGAAATTGTGATGGGATGTGGTAATACCACTGTGATACTTTTTTTTTTTTATTCATACTTGATTTTAATCATCTCAAAAAGTGGTAGTATATTTAACTAAGAGAAACCAAAAAGATGTGTTTAATATATTATTTGTATATTTCCTCTATGCAATACCCAAAATACTGTCGCTCATTTCATTGCTCTCTTCTCTCCCCACTTTTATATTCTGTGGCCAGTCAGTGGTGAATGGGCTTTAGATAACTGTACTTCACCTTACTGCCTTCACCAGACACTTCAGGCTTGCTTGCTTCCCCACCAGGACAATTTTCTGGGCGTTTGCTCAGTGTGAGGTGAAAGAGCTGACAGCTGTAAAAAGTTTCCAGCCAACTGAGATGAGAGGTTGCCAGAGTGCAGCACTTGTCATTTCTAGAGAAAAGCACACGTGTCCAGTTGATTTAGGTCGACTGAGCGGTGAAGGCAATGGGCAGGGCTGCAGGAAGGGTATCATACTTGAAAGAGAGGGGGACAGGAGAGAGGTGATGAAGCGACTGGGGAGGACGAAGAATGAGCTGTAAAGCTGTATCATGTCTCCCACCTTTGCCTGCACATGTAAATTGAGTGACACAGTGTGTAATTTAAAGGTCCAGTGTGTAAGATTTAGGTGAAAGGAATATTTGGCAGAAATTGAATATAAAATAATCCTAGTGATGTTTTCACTGGTGTGTTTCAAATTGTATGAATTGTTGTTTTCTTTACCATAGAATGGGCTTGTATATTTACATGGAGGGGGGGGGGCCTCTCTGTGGAGGCTTCCATGTTTTTGAGTGTCGTCCAAACTGGACAAACTAAAACCTTTTGAGTTTTCATGACAACTGAAGTTCACCACAGGTTCTCTTTCATGTTGGGAAGGGGAGGTGAGATGAGGGGTATTCGGCTGCAACACGAAACTTCACCACTAGATGCCACTAAATTCTACTCACTGAACCTTTAAAGTGTCACGGTACAGATGAAGGCCGAGCAGTGAAATGCAGCATTGTTTGTTAAAGCGGTCACACACGTAAACCAAAACATTCTCTTGTAGGAGGGTTTGTTGTATTTGTAGAGCACAGTGACACAAGTTAGAGTCTGATGGTTTAAGTGCACATATTCCTGGCTCCACTTACAATCTTCAGTTTAAACAATTAAGATTAATTAAGAAGATTAGAGTCAGACCAGGGAGGCATGATACAAACATGCAGTACTGTGAATGAATGAACCAGGGAATGTGAATGACTTTTCCCTGTTTACCCCTCTCTCCACCCATCTCTCTCGTAACTCTATCTTGTACCTCTGTTTCCTCCCTTTCACGTTCCCATTGCTTCTCTTTCTCTTTATATTAAAGGATCCCAGAGGATAAGTGACAGTGAGATCTCAGACTACGATTGTGAAGATGGTGTCGGGGTAATAACAGGTAATATACTCTGGTAATATTAACGTGCAGTCCAAGACTATTGATACATGGGACTTAATTAATCTTCAGCACAAGTCAATAAAATCTTTAAAACCAGAATGGCACTTAGAGAGTGCACAACTCTGCCAAGGCCCAACAGTCCCCTCGTGAAACCACATTTAATCTCAATACACCTGGAATTGTTTTCGGATCTGCACAAAATTGTACACACTCATAAATATCAGTCCCCTAAACATGCCAAATTGTTTACTTAAAGATCCATACATTATAATCTGAAATTTCCTGGATCTATCCCATGATCTGGATCCACACCAATATTGAATGAGTTAAACACTTGCTCCCTGGAGTTGTGTTTATCTGTCAAATCGTTTGTGCATCATCCGGCTAATAAAAAAGAGACAGACCGACAAACCAGTGCAGAGAAAACAACCTCCTTGGCGAGGTAATAAATTCCTAATTGAAAGAGTCTGAGGGAAAAGTAACAGAAAGTTAGTTGGGAAATAAGATTTTTCACTTTCACTTTACTCCTCACAGATATGTTGCTACCATAGGTCTCATACAATTTGTGGTCACTTCCTTTTATGGTGAACTCAGTCAGCATCTGTCAAACACTTGCCAGGACTGAACAGCTTAGAAATACACAATAAAATGCTGCAGCCCATCAACAGCAGCATGGTGAGGGACCAGTGAGCCTTTGTCTGCCACTGCACTGCTAGTTGCTGTTTTTGCTGTCCTCACCAACACTGCACATGAGACAAGGAGAGGCAGTTGGTGGTCCAGGAAAAAGAGTGAAAAACTGAGTAGCACTTGAAATGTGTTTGAAATATCAACCTTGAATGAATTCATGCTGAAATCGGTAACTGCGTCATAGAACAATACAAGACTACTTTAGTTTTTCAAGCTGAAAATGAGGGAGGGGGGGGGGGGGTTCTCTTTAGACCACAGAATCTGCGTCAACCTTACTTGCAGGAAAGTAGCTAGTTATTTCTGGGATAAAGACATCACTGCCTCTCTTTTTTTTTAATCCAGCATGTGAGAATGTTTCACATCTCAGTTAACACATTCACCCGCAGAGAAGAAGAGAGAGAAAACACACAAAATAAAAATAGAGGGATGGAGGACATGCATTGGAGAGAGAACAGAATAGATTCAGTTACTGACAGATGGAAAAGGGAAAAGCATGAGCCTGATACCGTAGCTGAGGGGAATCCTCCTTCAGCCACTTAAACATTCTCATCAGCCTCTTGCCGCCTCACCAGTGAAGGGAATACCCCTTCGCTCAGCTCCAGTCACACCCTCCACCACATCTCATTTATCATGCAGCTTTTGCATTGAACTGCTGATGCAATCATTTTTAAATGTGATAAAGAAAATAATTTTCAGTGCATTTTATTTAACTGCACACTCACTGCCAGGTGTCTAATTGTCTGGTACATACAGTACAGCAAAAGTGGACACTAATCATTACTGCAAAGGTTATGCTTGTGTCTTCTTGTCTTTCAAAGTCAAATTGCTGCTACTAGATTTTTCTTGATACAGTAGAATTTTAAAAGTGAAAAAGTTTTAATCTTGCTTTGACCCTCAGTTCTGTTCTCTCCCTCTGCACTGACGCAGCCCCATTCTTCTCATTAAATCCTTTTAATTGTCAGTAAAGGCTCTCCACTTAATATGTGCTTAACAGGCAGGTTGTACTCATGCATGAAGCCGCATGTCAGGAGGAAGAATAGACTTAATTTGGCTGTACATGGGAGTTAATTGCTTGGCTGCAGGAGGCTCTGTATTGGAGCTGCTGTTTAGAAATGGCAGATGTTTTCTCTGTTGAACCTAATATGCATCATAATGAAGCAAATGTGTTGCAAAAAACTCTTTTATTCTTGGTTTTACATTTGGTTTATAAAAGAAAAAAAGAGATTGGGCTGGTGTGTGAAATTACACATTTTGGCATTTTCATAATTTGACTTGCATCCACTTGTAATCAGGACTGATCTGAGTGGTTTGCAGAAATATTGAAGATTTAAATTAGCTGGTCTGATCCTCTACGTTGTGTCAAAAAAGAAAATTGTATGGTATCAATATATCAAACTTCCTTGTGTGAAGGGCAATATTTCTTTATCGTTACCTCCCATTTTTCTTACCTTTTCTTCTTTTCCAACCTGAGAGTTTTCTTTTACTTATTTTAAATGTGCTATACACTCTACTGAATATCAATCAACGTTTATAGAGCCAAGCACTGAACTTAACCACAGCGTCTAGACATGTCTGATTATCAGCTGATTAACTATTTGAAAGTTAAATGGACTAATCGGTCTTGCAGGGAAAATTCATTATAATATTTCAGATTTTTAAAAGGTAATTTTCATGTTAAATGCACAATGTTAACACAGCAGATCAACTGCACCTTTACTAGAACCTAGTTTGCCATTTTGGAATATGGAGACTCAGCAAAATTAAATTAGAAACCTGTGCTGAATGGCTTTTAGCCTGACTTTATGTTTGAGGTTATGGATGTGGTTAAACTGGATGTGCATTATTAGCAGTCATAATTTGTCATTAAAAGGGCTGCATATTTAGCTATTTCATTTACTCACACAAGAGGAATCCATGTTTAAGAAGTAAATTCAAATCTTTACACTGCAGTATTCACAGTATACAGTATGTGCAGTAAGTGATTGAAAAACCATCTTCAAACGTGTCTTATCTGCACTTGTCCCTGTGTCAGACTACCGGTCGAATGGCAGAGACTTCCAGAGCTCCACGTTGTCGGTCCCTGAGCAGGTGATGTCATCTAACCACTGCTCTCGGTCAGCTGATATAAACAGGGCACGGTCACGCTCTCCCAGCGTTCCCCCGCCCTCCAGGTAACTAATGCTCAGTCTACCACTGAACTGACCTTTGACAGGATACGCATGTATATTTTTTATTTTTCTCAGTGTTTGCTATGGTTATTTTCATGGCACGATGATGTATTTTACACTATTTTTTTGTCTTTTATGAACATGTCAAGGAGGATGCCTTAAGTAATGTTGATAGATGTAAGGAAATAGAGGCTTCAGCAGCTGAACTGAAAGATATTGTATTTCAAGTTACCCTTGAAAAATGAGAAACTTGACGCGAATCAGCCATTAATCAAATTAATGGGTTGTAGCCCCAAGTGCTGCTGAGCTTGGCCTGATTTCCAGACCAGTGCCTCCTGAATGCCTTAGTGAAATGCAAGGCCATGTGCCCCCACACCTGGCCAGTAGGGGGACGTGTGTGGTGTGTAAACTATGAGAGGGGTGATCTGGTCCACTTCTATCACACAGCAGAAGTCTGGACCCAGCCTTTGACCTTAGGCCCTCTCAGTACAGCTCCACCTCTAGAGTGGATGACCACAGTGTGCCCGCAGCTAACTACTCACCTGACAGGTACACACTCTCCAGTTCACACTTGTGCACAGCAGCTGCATGCAGGCAGGCATGCATGTACAGATGCTGATAAGCATAAGTGATGAGTGGACATGCACGGAGAGGTTTATACACACATACACTTACTTCAAGATGCCGTTTGCCTTAAACTCTCAGCAAACTGATTTTGTGTGCGTGATTGCACCTCTCTGGTGTTTCTGCTTTTAAAGAGCAACTTTCTCTGTTCCTTGCAAATATATGTTGAAAATCATTATAAACCTGATACATTGATTTCTCATACCTTGATATTTGCTTCCTGGGCCTTCAATCCAAAATATACACAAATTGAAACACTCTGGACTCCTGAGAGAGTAACGTTACTGTATTTGAGATCAAGATAAACTGTACCCTCTCACTAATTTATCAGAAAAGTTATATGAGAGTTAAAATCTTGCATGAACACTAGACTTGGATGGGAAAACACTGCTTTGAGAAGTAATTAACAAGTTTCTGAACAAGTTTTTGATTATGCAGTAAGCATTTGGAGCCAATGCTGTAAATGCTGCGTACAGTATGCAGTATTTGCATGTATCTCCCTGTCTTTATGGAAGAGGTGGTCAAAGCGATGCGGTCAGTTATCCTCCATCAGCATTTATTTTCTGTGAGGGGTGGAAAATGTTGCTCCAAGAGTCCAATCATAGCCTTGGCACTGCCAGGCCACAGCTACTTCCCCCTGTCCAATTAACTTTATTTGATATTTCAGAGGCTCGGCCTAAATCAGTGTCAGACGCAGCAAATGCACTTATCTAAATTGTCTGGGACAGTGCTCGCTTGAGTGTATTTCAGCCGCTTTAATTAACAGCGTCCAGTTATTTATTGAAAACAGTTGAAAATGACAGGAATTGAGTAATTGGGACTTTGGATTTGTCTAAAAAAAAAATCTCTCTTGCTTAAAACTGTTTTTTAATTTCCACAGTTTTCCTGCTCTTTGAAATGCTCTTGAAATTGTGTGTCTAAAATAACTAATCTATGTTACGTGCATGGTTTTAAAGTGTTGTCCTCTACATTGAGTGGAAGTGACACTTTGCGCAGGTTCAGGCATTCGTTGTTTCCTCTGTGAGTGCTGGTGGTGTACTCTGTGTACCACTTTCATCTGTCTGTGTTGTAAAGCTGAGGAAGACATCTCCTCACCATTTGATATCTCAGCCTATCTTATCTTCCATGCCTGTATCTCCTCTTTGTAACTGTTACATCAACCTTTCCTATGAGCATTCTCACTCTATTTACGAGAAATCTCTCATTCTCTCCCTCAGTTTCCTCACCCTACATCTGTCTGCCTACGATTCTGTCTATCTCCAATGCTCTTTCTCTCTCTCCTCTCCTCCTCCTCCTCTGCTTCTTCCTCGGCGCCATCTCAGATCCATCTCTGTCTTCTCTCCTCCCTCCATGTGGTTGCAGCCATTTCCTCACTCTACCTCGAACCAGACATACTCAGCCTATTGATGATCCTCAAAGGGACCCCAGGTAGACTTTTACCTGAGCTTGCATGAAGCCTCATCTCTGCATCTCCAGCTTCCATCCCCCCCCCTCCCCCCAAAACTCCAGCCCACAACCCTTTGTTTTCTCCAGGAAGTCTTTCACTTGGGTGTTGAACACATGGCACTGACACAGTGGTTTTTGTCTCTGTAGCCAATGTTAAGTGATCACCATGAGGTTCTGACATTGCATGAAGTTCACTAAATCTAAACTATCATACCACTTGGTAATAGAAGTCACTTGATTTACTCGGCCATTGTCAATGCCATGAGTGTTGTGTTGTGGTGTTTCAGTATATATATCTCTTCTGCTGAAGATTGAATATATACACAATGTGTGTTGCTTTTCAGCAGTAAAATACATAAGGGAAAATGAGTGATTCTTTGACCATACACTTCATCCATCCAGTATCAGCATTGCTTACACTATCTTTTCACCACCTCATTATCATGTAAGCATTCTTCTCTTCTCACTCCAAATGTTTACCATGTGAGAGTGTGATTCCTATATGATCAAATAAGTAATTTGTTCCTCTGAGAGTGACTATGGCAATACTGAAAATGGATAAGTGTTCTATGGTTGTGAAGTTTTGTCCAGCAGAGGTGGTTTCTCCTACAAACAAGCGGATACACCTGTATAGTAGAGTTATATATTACCCCTCAGGTTAGGTCTTATCACTGTGGATTCAATAAGTCTATTCAGACAGATTACAGACAGTGTCTGTAATGGGAATTCAAAGGTGTATTCCAACTTCCTTTCCAGGTTTTAAAACGTGTTACCTTTGGTGGGAAACAAATGCTGACCAGTTGTGATATATATATATATATTTTTCCACCAGCCGCAACCATCGCATGTACCCCATCTGCAGAGAGGAAGCAGTCAGGTTACTGCGTTCTACTAGGATGGCCCGCGCCTATTCTGAGGGCGCCTACTCCTCCGACTATGACTATGAGAGGTATTGATATGCACATCCGCTGAAATTGTGCATCCACCATCTTGTGGTCCCCTCAAGTTGTCCCTTGTCCATCCTTAATTTATCTGTGATCGTACTTGTGATGACAGAAAATGATATCCTGTCCGATATCGCTTTTTGTGAAGGACTCATCACAGCTCTGAAGTTGTGTAGACGTACAGCAATGGTACACAACTGCCTCAATATGTTGAGGCTCAGAGCAGTTTGTGTTGCTGATGTTGGCTGTATGTAACCTGGTTGCTGGCCAGCACCTGACTGTTTCTCCATTGATGTCTTTGTTAATGTACCCATGTACGTTATACCAACAGTAATACGTTGATACGTGTGTGTGATCGCTAGTGTTGTCTTTTTTTTTACATGCTACTGGCAGCAGCTTTTTGCTCACACATACAGGGGCATCTCTGATGCATTGCTCTGGGCTGCACTGTAGCTTTGCATATTTTGGTTTCGTTTTGCCCTTTGGCTTCTTGGGTCTGGCCAGAATGGACAGCCAGATCATTCCAAGCACCTAAAGAAAGGCCTGCTGACATCTGTCCCCAGAAGGACCCACACCAGCATTCTGGTGCACCGATAAAAAGAAAGAACTCACATTGCCCCTTCCAGAGAAACGCTGTAAATGACTACAATTCTCTCAGTCTCAAATATTCTACCTGCTGCCATTTGGCTTTCAGTCAGGAATAATGTGATGTTTGTGCCATTTCTCTCCTCTCATGGAGGAAAAAACGATGAGTCTTCAGAAATCAGCCCGAGAGCCTGACTGACTTTATTAAAGTGTTACAAAGTTTCCCTGAGGTCTGACTTGACTCGACTTCAGGCTCAGGCTATAGCCTCGATAGCCATTATCAAGAGCTCTCCATTTTCTTCTCTCTCCCCTTCTGTTTGTCTAAACTGAGAGAAAAAGGAAAGCAGATATCATCACAGTGTAGAGTATAGATCTCCCCTCTACTCCCTTGTTTCTTACACAGTTTGTTTCTCTCTGCACCAGGCAGAGTAACAGCAATAGTGAGACCTGAAGGGAAACAAGAAAAAGGAAATAAGCAACAAAGAGCAATAGTGGAATTTGAGCCTTTTGGCAATTGTCTCAATTTAGGTCAGTTCCCCAGAACATGAGAAAATGCTTTTCATGATTCTGTTGTGCCCCAGAGTGCACCTTGAGTTTGACAAAGCTTGCAGCAGTAAAACAGCACAGCTTTTACAGAGAGCAAACATTTTGGACTGAGTTTGAAACCAGTCCGAATGGAACAAGCAGTGTTATTCCAATGTGCAATATGTATACTGTATATCGTTGCTATGTTAATCAAATGTCACCTATATAGAGTTGCACCTAGAGAGATGTTGACTTGTAGCAGATAAACCTTCTCATTTCCCATAAATCCTCAACCATAACAGCCTCTTGATTGGAACCCACTAATGGATAGGTTGATCATCATTGTAAATAACTTGACTTGGAGAAACTTAAGGCTTCTTTATGTAAGTGAATGATTCATGTTTGACAAAAAAGACATTTCCTCTACTGGACAATTTTTCATACTGCAAAAGGCCACAGACAATACAAGACTGTGATGAGATGAATGTGTTCATTGACATTCAAATGAATGAAATAACTTAAAAGCAAAAGCTCAACAAAATGATGTATAAAAGTCTTTTGGTGTCTGTCCGCCTTTTTAAAAGTAGCGTTTGTGTTACACAGACACCAAGGTGTTGAAACACTTATGAGGGGCCTATCGTGACAGTATACTTAGATATTGTACCAACGGTTACCCAGCAGTGTGCATGCTCTAAAGTCAAAAGTTTCCTTTCTCTGGTTTGATGCCATTTCATGAACTTGTGTTTTTTTTTCTCTTTACAAAGTTAAACATGATCCGTACACTGTCAGTGATTTTCCCTGTTGAGATTCTCACCAGCTTTTTTCCCCCTACAGCTCTTCAATCTGACAAGATCTGAACTTCATCCTCACTGTGCCAAAAATACTTGTATTAACGGCTGGGCATTTATTTTGGAAATTACACATTTATCAAGCAAAGTGCAATGTAAAGATACACCCCACTGTTCCCTCACATTTCTCTGCACCTCAAAGAGATTGCAAATGAACACACACCCGTCACATATTGAGAGACAGCACATGCCGCCTGGCTTTTGTGACTTGACCATCAATTCACTACAGGAACCATAAACCCCACATGAGCCGCCCAGCCGTCTGTCTACACCCTGAAAATCAAGTAACTCATCTGCTCGTTAAGAATTATAGACAACGCTGTAATGTTGAAACACAAATTGTCAAAGAATTCAGTTGTAAGTTGAACCATATGACCATTTCAAGAAACCAGAAATGTCAAATTACGTCGTACTACAACATTTAAATGTTATAGAAATTAAAACAAAACATTTTCAGTTGTACATCCAGTTCTATATAATCCACCTTTAAGAGGTTTTCTACAAGCATTCAATCGTTGTCATACTATTCTCTACGAGTTGCTGAATGATCGACCACACCTGCATTTTTGCATGTTTTGATCCGTTTACAGGAAATATATACCACACTATATAAACCAGTTTCCAAAGCAGATTGTTGGAATTTACATGTTCTGATGTGTTTTGATACTTAACAAGAATCATTCATATCCGACACGAGGTAAAAAATCTGCTTACGGACACGTTTAGTTCATGATAGTAAATACCATGTCAACTGCACTCAGAATTATAGATCTACTGTAATCTTCAGAACATTGATATGACCATAGAACTGTCAGCAACAATATAAGTAATGAATGTGATGTGTAATAGTTTGGTTAAAACATGCAACAACACAGGTGCAGCCCTTAAACAGATGCACATCTCAGAGGAGTTTTGATTGGGCACAAATATCTGTGCCCTCCATACTGTCGACCCTGCCAGCGTATTGTCCCTGTCCTGCTGGGGTCCCACTGAGTGCCTGCCTAACTCTCACTAACCTCTGTAGGAACCACGGAGCCATGGATAGACACGAGTATCACAGCAGGTCCCGCTCTGCAGACCAGCGGCCCACTATAGAGCGCCCCACATCCCGCTCACGCTCCACTGAACGCCCCCACGACTCTTCGCTCATGAGGTCCATGCCGTCTCTGCCATCTGGGAGGTCCGCCCCCCCCTCACCTGCCTTGACGAGGTGTGACCCAGATTAGAGACGCTAACCAGTTTAGCCCAGACGCAGACTGGAGTTTGTAGTTGTACAATAATTTCCCCAAAGCGAAGCTGCTCTGGAGGGAGAAATAATTTGAACATCAGGCTAAGACAATAAATTGACCAAGAACCAGAGCTCTTTTATTTGAGTTAAATGAGTGAATACATTAAACCTAATTTTATACTAGTAACTGGGAAACATTGAGAGTCCTGCAATTTATAGTAACTGGGTTTGTTAATTAGCCTAGCATCCAGGTTGGCTTTGGATAAATCAGGTAGCTTGCTCATGCCACGATTATTTGATCAACAAATATACAAAATAATCCTCTTTGTTAATTTATTGTTAATCAGCTACTGGCTAGTGGATAAATACTCTGTGAAAGTGTCTGGTTCTTTTGATTCCCACTCTGAGGTTTAAATCAACCAGTAAGATCATTTCTGCGTCCAGAGCAGCTCAACCTCTGCCAATCGTTTGTACAACTACAACCTTTAGAGCTAAACCAGTACAGAGCCCGTCCCATGAGCTTCCACCCACCCTGAGCCTGACTAACTCACTGAATGAACCAGAGAAACTACATCACTACCACCTCCCTCCCCCTGTCCCAATACCCTGCTCCCCTGCCTCACCCCACCTCACCTCACTCCCCCCTCACAACTACCCCACCACCCACCAGCCACTTTCTGTTTTGTCCCCAAAAGCAGTGGTGCTGTATTTTCTTTACACATGTCCCAGGCACGACAATCCCGACACCGTAGATAGCGTGCTAACTCGTTTTCATTTGGAACACACTGCTTATACGCTTGCGTGAGTATAGCAGTGTTGGACCGACATTTTACTTTGATTTCATTACTAACATCAACTGACACCGTTTATCCTGTGATGGCATTCTGCTTTTCTTTTCTTTTCCTTTCTATTTTCTTTGGTTTCAGTTATTTGAAGTCTTTTGGGGACAATATGAACGCATGGTCGCACTGGTCTGCTGTTTTCTGCATTGAACTCTTCTCTCTTTGCAGCTTGATGAGTCGACTGTACATGCGATTCACACCTGGCATCTTTTATTGCAGCTCAGTTCCCAACAGTTGATGTTTCCCTTCACTCCCATGCCATGTGCCAAACATCATTACTGTGTGCATTGGTTTTATATTTGGAGCTTCAAGACATGTTGTATGTTTCAAGTAGTCTTCTACTGTTAGTTAGCCCATACATTAATATAGTACAGTGAGTAAAAGTACTCACTTATATCTAAACAAATATACAGTGTGTGTGTGTGAATTAAATTATTAGTGATCGTAGATAAATACCTTAAAACACGTCACTGTACCACTGTAGCAAATAGCTTTAGTTTTCTGTCAGTCGCATTTAGACTCTCAAACACATATCTCTATTCTGGCTTTTCTCACACTGTGATGTGGGTGTGACATGGCCTGGCCTGGCCCATCCACCATTAGCTCTTATCCTAATTTGTGTCTCACAACGGCATACACTGCTTTTTGTCATGTAGGGCGCATCCTCGTAGTGGATCGGTCCAGACGAGTCCCAACAGTACCCCGATGTCCAGCAGACGAGGACGACAACTACCACAGCTTCCACACACAGGGAAGGACAGAAGTAAGTCCCCTGGCTATGTTGTCTTTGTATTACGTTGTTACGGTTGACGGAGAGACTTGGATAGTCAGACTGTGAGTGAGGACAAAGTGTGCTTTTGGTCAGCATCTTATAATGATATAGTTGTTACTTGGTGGCCCAGCTGTTTGGGTCTGAGGACGAGCCCTGGTTTTTGGACTTCACTTCTGAAGACTGACTTCTGCAAAGGAAGAAGTCTTATTTGCTGATGGAATCTCTCAGTATAAGTTACCGATCATATCATATGTGCAAGACGTTTTTTGTTTTGTGTTGGTGTTCACTTTGACCTTCCGTCCGTAACATCTCTACCTGGTTCCCTTTCCAATTTCTCTCTCAGAAGATGGAGACGAAGGAACAGAGCCTTGTGAAGGTCTGTACCTCAATGTGTGGGTTTAGTCTTTCAGACTGGGGGGTGGGCTTTTGAGCCACACTTTACTCTGAAGGCCAAAACCCTGTCTGCAACAGCAGGTGGCTGGGTTCACCGGAGGCTCAGCTCATCCTGTGCTCCTCGAACCCTCCCTCTGTTGCGGCTGTGTTTAACCTCCAGTTGAGATGTCCTGTGCTTTTGTGTTGTACTTACCTGTAGACCTGTCTGGATCCTGCTGTCGACAGTACCAGTGTTGTGTTCAAATGTTGCCTCCTTTGTTTTTATCATTTGTGTGGGAGTCACATTGCTTTACATAAACTTTTAGGACTGCTGATATACTTCACCTAAGCTAATGTGTTCTCCAGGCTCTGAGCAATGATTAAGGCACAACAGTTCTAAAGTACAAAGTGACTTTTAAAGTTCTGTTCCTCAGCACCCCTTCATCAAATATATGTGTTGTGCCGGTACTGTAAGAGGTCCTGTGATGAAAGCAATGATTTCTCTTATTAACCAAGTGCTGTGGAGAAACAAAGACTTTAGTAGCTTTACATTGACTAGAGCAGATGATGGGGACAAAGATGGAGAGGGAGGAAAAAGCTCAGGCACTTGTTGGTCACAGCACTCGCAGAACTCTTTCATCACTGTCAGAGTTCATGAGGGATTTCTCTGTCGTTCTGCCGCCAACCGGACCATCTCTCTCTCTCTCTCTCTCGCTCCCCCTCTCCCCAATTTCCTAACATTCTCCCTCTCTGTCCCACCCCTCTTCTTCAGATATATTTTTATCACTCTGAAGCCCTGTCTGGAGTTTTCTGCCTCTTCTGTGTCCCACCTCTTTCTTTCTGTTGCTGTTTATCAGGTCTTTTATCCTTTCCCACTTCCCCCTCTCCCTTTTACTCTCTGTATTTGTGTCTTTCACGCTCTTTTTGTATTGCAACTTTCAGGACAGTGGCAACGTCTGGGCAGTGGGGGGAGGTATTGATCTGACCTTGTGCTGAAGCTCCCACAGAGCTGTATGGCACTCAGCTTATGTAATGCAAATGTGTGTGAGTGTGTGTGTGTGTGTGTGTTTGTCTGTGTGCATGCAGCTTTTTATGGACCTGATCCATATTATTGCTGACTAGCTGGACTAATGATAATTCATATTTTTGTCTTTTTGTCTCTCACTTGCACAGACCTAATTTTCTTGTGTGCTATCTCTTTCTGTGTGGCAAATCCTTAGAGGGAGCAAGGGAAGCGCTCAGGGCTTCTGAACCCCAAAATAGTTGCCCAGGTGTGTTTATTATTAAAACGTGTCCTGAATCATTTCTTTTCTCCATTTTCTTCAGATTTCTCCTCCCTTTTGTGATGATACTTGATTCTTTTCTTTGGAAAAATGTTAACGTTCAAGTTGGGGTAGAAGATGTCTAAGTTTAGGTGTTGGAGTGTTGTCTGGTGTCGTGGATGAGAGTGATCTGCAGTGCACCTTAATGTAGCCTCCATTCATCCACAGGCCTGAATGAGTGGCCAGACTGTTGGCAGAAACTGAAGCTCCCCACAGTTTGCACTTCCTAGTTTCCCATCTGTTTCTGTGGCCTGCTTCTGTCCTGTGACTATTACTCAACACTGTCATAGCTGTTTTGCTGACCGACTCAGTGGAGACTCATGTGAGCTTCCTAAAAAGCCACATTCTCTTTCTTAATGGTCTGCAGGCCAAATGCTGCTTTAAGAAGGTTGTATGTTTTAAGTCCAGGAGCAAATGCTAGGTGTTCATTTTAATCATTCATTGTACATTAAAATAAAACAAAATGACACAACATTCTTGGGTGTTAGCTTAAACTAGGACGTGGTGTTAACTGCTGGTGTTGTGCAGACACTCTGAGTGTGGAGTGTATGAGCTGCAGTATTCATGTAATTCACAGCAGGTCCATCATTTCATGAGCGTCCATCTGTCTCTCTACTAGCAGCAGACTCTGAGGAAAAACCCCAAGGCCCACCGGTAAATGGGAGGAAAGGCAAGTCCAGTGTGATGGTGTGACTTTGCTGTGTGGGTGATCTCGCTCAACAGAAGATCTTTACGTGTGACACTCACCAGTAGCTGTAGATCTCAATACTCATCCACTCTGGATGATTCTGCCCCGCTATTTGCCGTGGCACATTAGAAAAGTCACTTTCTTCAAACTTCTCTTTGTTCGATTGAATTACAGCGTTGTGCTGACTGAAGTTTAAGATGATGTTAATATGTACAGACTGCTGCTTCTGTGATCTCTGCTCACACACACACACACACACACACACACAGCTTTCAATTTTCATTGTGAAATTGCCAATCACTTCAATTCGACATGGATAATTGAACACACAGACACACACGTCCTGCACAATAAGACTTGTGATCTCAGTCATATGGAGGTCATGTTCAGAAAAATCCTGTCAGACACGTCAAATTAAATATTTTGCATGAATACTCTCACTTTTAATGACGAGGATTATTATAAGAACAAATGAACAAGAATAAGAACAAAATATAATGTTGTTTTTCTCTGGATTCTGTGCATGTCACTTAAGTTGAAGTCCTGCCCAGTGCAGTGTCTCTTTTGTCGAGAATTAGATACTGTTACCTCAGTTGGCCAGCAGATGGAGCAAAGTTCATAATGTTGATGAGGAGCTGTCTGTGATTTCAGTGCTGAAGCAGCAATCTACACTATTATAGATATATATTATATATATACACTGTGGTTTTAATGTGTAAATTGTGTATTAAAGGGTCAAGAGATATTTTCTTTTAGAGAAAAAGCTTTTTGCACTTTTTTTCATTGCTAGAATTCTCAAAACGCTTCCTTGACTTTCCAAGGCCCTCAACTAAAATGTTGTGTCTAAACCAGGGAGTGTTTGTTTGTCTGTGTGTGTGTGTGTGTGTATGCGAACGCGTGCGTATCTTGCGGTAGAGGTGACATGGGAGGACCAGCAGCGAGGGCTGAATGGCTCTCTGTCTGATGGAGGGTCACAGCCACACCCCTCCCTCACAGACACAGGTCAGTTGGTGTCTGGGTGTGGAGTTCTGCCTCTTTTAAAGCATGAACAATGAACAACCCATAGTTACCAGAAAAGGGTAAGCAACCATGCGAGGTGATGATCTTTAGCCTTGCAATAGTTACGTCTAAGTACATGTCAAAACGAGCTACTTCTTTTAAAAGGGTACATACAACAATACATAATGTTGTAAGTTATGATTTAGTGTTCAGACCAAAACCATAACATCTCACATTCAATCAGTCTGTTGTATATCTATCATTTTCAGTAGGATTTGTCCTCTCTCTACTTACTCATATATTATTCCCTCAACTGAATGTGTCACTTATGATAATTAATATGCACCAGGAATCAAATACGTTTATCAACCAAGAGTTAAGGTCATGTGACTGTAGACATATCTGAATAAAAAAAGATTTTATCTTCCTATAGCCAAATTGAGAACCTGAAAATCCCTCATGTGAATAGTGTTTTTCTTCAGAGCCACAGCAGATAGTGGGTTGTTGGTTGTTCATGCAGAGTTCAAGCATGTTCAAAATCCAAATCCCTTCTTTGTGTGGACTCTAAACTGCTGGATTTCAACCTCACCAAAGGGAGACCTGGACAATGTGCAGTAGAAGCTGAATATTAGCAAAAATAAAATAAAGTAAAAACAGAGCTTGATTTATTTGTTTTGTATGAGCAGGCAGAATTACTTCATATTTATGATTGCCCAGGTCAGCCTCTGGATGGCGCCCTTCTATATTTCTGTCTCTTTCTCCTTGACGTGGTTTTGCAGTGCAGCTTGGAGCTGATGTTTGAGCGAAAACTGATGTTGGACGAGTTGTGAAACATTTCAAACCCAGCACAGTGTCCTACTTTCAACAACAATAAAAAGTCATGTCTGATGAAATGCTGCTGTGTTGCCATCCATGAATGCTTGGCAGACAAGATGGGTTGCTAAGGTAATGGTACTTGTGTCTTGAGGTGCTGTGTTTTCTGCACTGGCTTAATGGGCTCCCATGGAAACACATCTTCACCTCCCTTTAAATGAAGCCTCTTTTATATTTACCTGTTAAGTCACTAGGTGATCTGTCATTTAGATGGGAACTGATTAACAGTGGTGGATTATTTTAGGCAGTGACCTTATTAAATGTTTAACGAAGTCAGGAGAAAAAGCAGTTGTGTTAGTGACACAGTGACATAACATCACCTGTTTTTCACTGATGTATTTACTGCTGTAGAAGTGCTCGTAATGTGCAGTGTGGTGCTGAAGCCAGATTGAAGCAGTAACGACCCTCAGCAGGCCCAGGCCTGGTCATCACTCTTTGTTGCTTTCTCTTTATTTTTCAGTTGCTGCCTCTCTTTAAACACCCCCGCTCTCACCTCACCACTCTGTGTCTTGGCCTCCACCTTCTCTCCCTCCTCGGACTTTGTGTCGATTCGTCTCTGTCTCTGCATATTGCTCGTACCTTTATTCATCCTGGGAGGGCTTGACCGGTCATGTCAGCTTCAGACTGAGAGTTATACTAGTGTCAGTTAATGGCATTGATGAACATTGATTGTGCAGGAAGAGTGGGTGTTGGGGGGGTTACTCACACTCCTCACTTCCACCTTTTGTTCACTGTTGTCCCAGGTCATCCATTGATGCTGTGTATCTCTGAACAAACTGCACATACTGGGAAATTAGACATTCAGAAGTGAAATGTGGATAAGATGACGACTCTACTCATTTTATAAAAAAAATGGAATAATGAAACTAAAGAATCTTTGAACTGGCTGATGCTGACATGCACATTTGTGATGATATTGTTTTGAAAATCACGTTTTATGGATTTTATTGAAAAAGCAAACATATGTATGTGTGTGTTTCATCACTTATAGTTGAAACTGAATGTTACAGTAAAGAGGAAGCAAAGCAAATTTTGTTTTTTGGCATCTTAATTCAGTGAGTTCTGTTTTTTACTGTACTTCTTACTGGAAACTACAGATGACTTGATGTGAATTTATAAAACATGGCTGATACACACGAAGACTGTGGTGACAGCACAAGCATGATTTATTTTAAAATCCTTACACAAATAGTAAGGTTTGTTATAATATTTTTAATCAAATCATTGTTTTTGAAAGATTTTAACCTCAAGGCAGTTGAATTGCATTTCAACAGTCCACATTGACCTTACTGGCATTTTCTGCTGTGGCAATTTCGTCACCTCAACTCAGTCAAACAGATATTTGGGAACATCTCATTTTCTATGAAATATCATGATATAATTGTCTGTGATGTGACACTGAAACGGCTGATATGTTGTGTTAAATATATATATGTACATGTGTACCACACAGTATATTGACCCAGTGACCACAGGAGACCATTCCACACCAACTTTCACTGGTGGTTCACTCTCTCCCATCTCTATCGTATTACACCACCCACCCACTTAACCTGATGATCTACACGATGCAGCTGAAGTTAAGGGGGAAATATCACCTGCCCTCTTGATTACCATTTGCCTCCCTAATGAGGGGATGTTAGCTGCCACGCAGAGATGAAAGCTGCTGAGGCAGATGTCTCACATGGTCTTTTCATTCATGTGACACTTCATTATTCACCCTAATGGAGAACTAATTGAGCTAAATGCAAATTATGTGTAAGGGGTATGAAAATGAGGTCTGATGGGTGGGCTTCTTTTGTCCTATACCCACTGTCACTGTTGGTTTTGGATTTGAGATTAAGACGTCAGGATGGAGATTAGACTCATTTATCAAACTAAAGAAACAAACCCCTCCTCCGAATGTCCCAGGGTCTCAGCAGGCTCAGGAAGGAAGGATGAATATGAAGGGAAGAAGAATATGTAATCGGAAGCACCAGAGAAAGCAGGCAATCAATGTTGTTACATCTTTTTTCAGAGTGATACTGTAGCTGTGTGTGTGTGTATGCAGCAGAATGTGCACTCTCAGGTTTTTTCACGTATCTTGCTGGTACTCTATAAGGTAGTCGGCTCTCTCTTTTGTGTGCTCGCTGCTCTGTGCTTTCAGCTTTTCTTATTTCTTTTCCTTGATTTCATGTTAGTTCTCCAGGCTGTCTTCTCACAGTTGCCCCATGCAGACTCAAGTGGCATCCTCTTCTCCTTTTACCCTCCTTGCCTTTCCTCTCCTCCTTCTCCCCTCCTGTCCTCAGAGGTCTCACGTTTCTATATGTTTCGGTACATTAACATCTCTTTGCCGTTTCAGCTCTTTTTTTCCTTTAGAGCACAGAACCTCACCTGTCCAACCTTTCTCTAATCACTTAACTCGTAGCCTCTACTTCAGCCTCTCCCGGCCTCGCACCCTCCTGCTCTGTTTTGACTTCTCACTGTGCACATGGTGGAGTTTGTGTGTTCTTGGTGTACTCTATGATTTTGTTTGTGTTGTTCTGTGCTTGTTGTTTTGTCATTGTGGTGTCGTATTGTTGTTGTGTTGTGTCCCCTCGCCCTCCATCCTCTGCCCCTTCACCCTGACCCCTCCAAAACCTGGCATTCTCAGTGACCACGGTGATGGCGTCGGCCCCCCTCCGTCCTCCCCCTCCTCCTCTGTCTCCCCTCTTACCCTTTGTGAATCCTCTCACATCCATCTTCCTCTCCTCTGTCTGTGTCTGTCCATTCTGTAATGTGATCCCAGAAGACACGGACTCACCAAGTTGGACGAACTCAGGTCTGTCCCTTCTTCTTCTTCTTCTTCTTCTACTTCTCCCCCTCCGTCCTATTCTGGCTCGGTTTCTTCTCCCCCACCTACCTCCCCCCATCTCAGTCGTCTTTCTATTTCCGCTTCGCTTGCCCACAATCTCTCACTTCTGGCTTTTTGTCATTTCACCCTCCTTTATTTTGCTGCGGACAGATGGTGTGAGCTTACAGTTCATATAATCATGGTCAAGGTCATGCTGGTGTTGTTTCTTCGCACCAGGTGTTGTGAGGAGACACTAAGTTATTTTCTACCTAGAAAATATAAACTTGCTGTCAGTGTATGACAGCTGAGTTCTCCTCTCCATGGACACAGATTTGCAACATTTCCTCAGAGATTTTGGGGCTTATTTAGCCAAATTTGATTGCCAAAATATATGATGATGATGAACATAATTCCGAGTCCTTTACAGATGAAACTAAAGATACTTTGCAGTTGAAAAGAATAAGTAAGATTTTGATTATCTGGTTTTATTTCAGCACATTTGCTTTCCAAAGAAAAATGCCTGGAAGCTGACTTTCAGCGTGGTCATTTTAGGGACACTTCTCCAAGTGTTGTTGTCACTGAGTTTGCCAAATTATAATTAGATGAAAAAATCAGGGGCTACATCTAAAAAAACTGCACTGCTGCATCTACATCTAACGCAGCTGTGAATCTGAGAAATGTTGCAGCTAAAACCTCATATACCCATTGTTTCATTTCAAATTCAGGGACATGGAGGAGACAACACAACAAACACTTTCCTAATACTTTTCTGACTGCACTGTTAGAAAAGCAGCATAACTGCAAGAGATGATCAACAGAATGAATAAATAGCTGACAAAGTGCTTGATGTGCACCTTTCTGTGTAATTAAGAAACAGACGGTGTGGAGATGTGGAGGTGCTGAAATGTTACTTCAGCAGCACAAACAATTAACCCAGAGGAGCCGAAAAAATCCTCATGAGGGAAAAATCATGTTGCCTCACCTGTGCAGTCATTCATTTACTCCCAGCTTCTATTGCTTTTTTGGTGTGTGTATGTGAAGCGATAAGCATCATGTATGTGCGCATGGCACTTGTACGTGTGCAGTCACCTTGTCATTGACATCATATGACACAAAAGTAGAGACAGAGAGCAAGTGGTGAGAATGGAGCGACAGCAGGAAATCACTTGGTGGGAGCTGATAATTGTGTCTTTTTTTCTTTTTGGTTACATCCAATGTGTTTAGTTTTGAATGCTGTGGCCTTTTTACCCTCATAGAGAACAGTTAAGCTTGCGTGTTGAGTATGGCGGGATTTCTGTGTAGTGCAAATTGTGCTTGCAACAAGATGAGACAAAGAACAGAACAAACGAAGAACAGAGCTGCAATTTAGGACAAAATGAAATGGACAAACATGATGATTTGGTGCTTTAACAAAACATTTGTGTTCGCCGATTAGTGAGATCGTACAGCAATTACATTTGTTTTCAAAGGATTTATTTAGCAGAGATTTTTTAGACTCTTTGTGAAATGTACCCCACATGGGTCAAAAGCATTGTTAGAGGTAGAACATTTTGTTTGCATCCTTCAGTCCTTTACCTTGTAGTAGGGTTCATTTGATTTTATAAAAAGCAACAGAGCGGTCCCAATGTTTTCTAAAGTTTATTCAGCCTGGTGTTGGGACTTGTGGTAACAAATGAAGCAGTTCGATATGTCGCTTACTTTCACCAGTCAGCTTATTTGGTTGTGTTTCTTTGTCAATACAGCCGACCATTCAGCTTTTTCTCATTAGATCTGTCCTCGTCATAGCTCATGGCTCATAGCTCAGCAGAAGCTTGTCTCTCACCATAACAGTATGTCATCCCATCAGGCCTCCCTCACTGTGTCAGCCGCCATCTGATCGTCTCCTGTCTCTGTGCTCAGGTATGGACATGGAAGAGAGAACCAGGGAGATGAAAGTGAAGATGAACAAGTACAAGCAGGGAGCTGGCTCTGACTCCAGACTGGAGCAGGACTACCACAAGGTAAAAACATGTCTGCCTGATTTATGCTTCAACACTTATACACCATGTACCTACGCTCTACTGTTTGCATAGTTGCACTGTGCATAAGCCATGTGGCACTCTCTGAAAGCAGTCAGGCATGTACACATGCACATATCAACATCACACTGCGCATGTGCATTGATGTTTGCACAATGTACACACACATGCAAACAAAGTCGCACAAACACAAAAAACTGATGAACACTCATTCAGGTTGGGGTCACCTGTGTTTTTAAAAGGTCACTTCACCCAAATTGCAAAACAGCCTAATAAACGTGTCTCCACATACTCCTTTATTCATGTGGATTCATGCAGATAGTTTTGCTGATTTTTCAGTGAAAAAATAAATTTTAAAAAGACGTGGCAAAACACCTTTCCAGATACAATGTCCCAGTTAGGGCCTTGTCACACCAGCAAATGTGTCAGGGGCGAAATGTCCACTTCCAATCTGTGTGAGCAACGTGGTTCCTGTTGAGAAGCAAATTGTGTGGCTTGCATGGATTTCAACCTCGGTGAACTTTGACCTGTGATATTCACTTTGCGTTCGCCTGAATTATAATAGTTTAATAGTGCAATCATTTACTAAAGGTGAAAATAATGACAATAATAATCCATGCTTACAGCAAAGTCTGTGGGTTACCAGGTTACCATGGGACAAGTTTTTTGGAAAAGCTCAACACTCTGGACTGTCATTATCTTCAGTTCTCTGAACTGTACAAAGAAAAATTCCATTTGCTTTCATTATGAAGTAGCGGTGGTCTCACATGCACGGCTACTGCAGAAACAAATGTTTTTTGCATTTGCAGAAAATGCCTTTTGGGCGAACTGAGCCTTTAAGCCTTGTTTTAAATTCAAAGAATGTGACAGTGAGTGTGTGCAGAGTCAAGTGTTTACTACTCCGTGCTGGAGAGGTGCTGAGCATGTTTAGAAAGCTTGGCCTCAGTCTGGTGTGTCAATGCAGTCTGGGCCAAGACAAAGGCTCTCTGTCCAGCTCTCCTTTTAAGTCAGTGTTATGAAGGCTATTGCATTAGGAGCTCCCGATGTGTCTGCTCGGAGTCTATAAAAAGCAGATTAAACTGTGAGTTGTCCTTGTCTGGTGAACATTATCCTGTTTGAAGATGCCATTGACAAAACAATGCTCTCACTATTATTAAACCAGACTTTTGAGGGCCTGCTCTTAAACTACAGTGTAATGCAAAACAGTTACTGTAACACTCGGTTCAGGTTCTCTTACTGTAAACATTCCACTAAACACACACAAAGGATATTTTATAGTCATAGACCATCACTGATTCATGCCAAGTGTGTTATCCCAGTTGTTCCTTCAAGGATTCCTCAAAGTAAAGCTATAGTTGTCACAACATCTGGCTTCCAGCGCAGGAGCTACACTCATCCAAGAGTAAAATTCCTCCATTTATATTTTACCAAAGTAAAAACATAGATAGCTGGATTGGCACTCAAGGCCAAACAATCCTATTCATGTCTGTCCCGCTCGCAGTATTGTGAATGTGGCTTTTACATTGTTACACATCGTCATACAATGGTAAGGAAAGGGATTAAAAAATCTTATAACCAGACAAAGGTAAAACATAATGTCCTTGGCTGAATTTAATATCCTGTATACTGTATAAATATAACTATTACATTCAAAAAGTACCACAAAAGTAAAGTATGAACTCAGTTGGGTTGTAATTGTTATGAAACTGATTTGTAGAGACCTACTGTGTTATCTAATATTAAGATTTCATTTTAGTTTATGTTGTTCTTAAATTAGTTCTTTTGATCGTTAGTTTTTAATGTAAAAAGATGATCTGCAAATCAACTAATAATTGTGGTTGTTATTATAGTTGAGTGACTAATTGGATATCTCTCCCTAATAAGTATTTTGCATTGAAATACTCATGTAAAGTAGTAATTCTTCAAATGAATAAGAATAGAAAGAAAAACAACCTTCGTCAATCCTAGTTGATTATTTGATTTTGGCACAAATGGATAGATGCTCAAGTGTGTGCGTGTGGCCTTTACAACTGAAAAGTGAAACGGAAATTAAGACTTTTTCTAAATGATCTCAACACACTGCGTTCCCAGTCTGTATCCCACATCGTGAAGAAATGCAAAGTTCAACTCTGAGCAAAACATTTTCTAATAAAACTCCAACAATTCAGTTTTTACTTTTTAAAAGACACACCTGATATGACTTATACAAGCATCATGAGAGGTGTACTAATACGTCTACAAGATTCACATTCTAAAGCCTACTTCTGCAGCAGAACTCATTTTGATCAAGAACAGTTGTCCAAAAAAAAACCCGACTCACAAGCAGCTGTCACCCTTTCATCACTTTGTAAAGTTTATGATATGAGATGAGTGTCTGTCTTTAAAATGTAGTATGAATGACCACTGAACATTTAAAAGCAACTATGATCTTTGGATTTGTTTCTTGCAGCACAAGTTTGTGTTTTGTGTAAAGTCATCATCAGGATTTTAACCCTGTGTTGTGTTTATGTTTTGTACACTCAGCAGCGTTCAGGCAGAGATCCACGGGGCTCAGATAACCTGTCGGCCAAGTCATCGGACAGCGATGTAAGCGACGTGTCCGCTGTGTCGAGAACTAGTAGCGCCTCTCGGTTCAGCAGCACGAGCTACATGTCTGTCCAGTCCGAAAGGCCGCAAGGAAATCGCAAGATCCGGTAGGCTGACATCCACACCACGGGACAGTTCACTTTGTCTTACTCATTAGACTTCATCCAGCTGTTGTCAGGAATGGACACTTCCCCTCAGCCATGAACTCTGCATGTGTGTTGTTGCCGCGTCCAGACAACTTCAGCCTCGAGATTGTCTGCACTTGGTTAAAAGAGGAGAGTGCACGCTTTTAGCGCTGTCTGTCATTTTCTCACTGTGGTGAGTTCAGGTTTGGCTCCGTTTTAGAAACATCTGGAACCAAACAGTTGAACTCCACCCCTTCAGGCTGTGGGGGAAGTTGGTCCATATCTAGCAACACAGAAACAGAAAACACATTCCATATTTTTGGGTGTCGTCTCACACCAAAAGAAAAAAAGAAAGAAATGCATTTGCATGGCGCCTTGTTGTAAGTCTACATTTCTGCTTTTGGTTATTTTCACTCAGTCTGCTTTTAAACTTGGCTGCACTGTGTCTCTGTGTTTGTCTCTTTTTCTCTTCTTGTTTACATTATTCATTCTTTGTTTGGCTCTCTTTCTGCTTTGCATGTGCTGCTCTCTTTGCTTCTGTTTCCGTCTTCAGCCAGTTGCGATCAAGGAGCCAGTCTCGGGAGGGGGATGAGCGGTTAGGAGAGGTGCGAGAGGAGGAGAGGGCGAGAGGGGGAGAAGGAGGAGGAGGAGAGGGAGGGAGAAGGGCCAGTAAAGAGGGGAGATTACAGGAAGGGAGGAAAGGATCAGGGGGGAATGTAGACACAGACAAGGAACATCGGGAGGATTTGGTGGAGACAGAAGAGGACTTGCATCAGAGGAGTATCTCAGAGACTGACCTCAGGTAACACATGTGGCAGCCTCTAACTGTAGACTCCTACTAACAAATAGTAGCTCCTGGTGGCCCCTCGGTTATTTGACGATGTGCAACGCAGAGTGTGGTGACTATCCTCCAACCTTTACCTTGATATTAACGCAACTTCAATCCCATCAACCCTTTCCAATACTAAAGCAGAGTAGCATGAGCTGACAACACTTTGTTAACCCATGCAGCCTGTTCACACATTAGTATCAGATCAAAACAACACAACACCCTGTGTAACTTAACTTAACTTAACACCCTGTGAAAAATCTTCACCTCTGTGTCATCATGTCATTACACGTGTACCTGGAGTACACGTGTAATGACATCACTTTTGGGTGACCACAGAGGATGGTAAAATAAACAGCTTTCTGGGTTTAAGTTACTCTTTAGGATCAGTTCTCACAAATCAAAGACACTAAAAACATTTATATCAAACACATGTAGGTTCAGTTTTATTTACTGAGCTCAAAAGACAAAATGTGGAGAGAAAGAGATGGAAGAATAAAATAAAATGGAATAGGAAATAGTTTTCTTTATTCATGCCATTGTGGGGGGCATTAGATGTGACAAATCTGTATCCTCTCTTTAATACAGAGGAGTAGTGTCTATGGTGCATGGGGAAAAAATTGGAATCCAGACACGTCACTGTGAAAACAGGGAAAAGTGTTGACATTCAGGTCTGTGGATTATTCTGACCTGGACACTGTCTCTGGAAAGACTTTTTAAAATGACTAAAACCAAACCTTAGAAATCTACATGGAAAATATAATTGTGTGGCAGATACACTCAGAGAGTACTTTGCATCACAAACTCAAGTCAAACACTATTTGCCGACAGATTACAGTGAAATGATGCAGTTCTCTTTGGCACATGAAGCCACACCACAGTACAGTGGACTCTGTGTCATTCTTGAAGAGTTTGACTAGTGTAGTGAAATCATATTTCCCTGGTAGCATGAACATATACTGTTGTATTTCAGTGTAATAAATCATACGGCTGAATGCATATGTGAAAATCTTTACTGTTTAAGTTGACGCATGCAGAACACTTTTATCTCAGACCTTCAGACTATATTTAACATGACACATTTTCATTGCGGCCACAAGAGACTATATGATTTCATTTCTGAGCGCCGCTGGACACAGAAATAACAAGTATGTCGAGCAGACTCAAGAACAAAGTGATTTGGAATCCCACAGCAGGATGAAAGCTTAGCTTATACTCCTAAGACGATGGCCTCACTATCAAATCACACTCACAGCAGGATCCAAGTTTGTGCTTCTCACCAACTTTAGCACTTGGACTTAGGAGAAAACACATTAAGATAAAAGCTGTACCCTCTTATGTGCGATTAACGCTACACCAGTGTGTACAGTCTGATTAACAAATCCCACGTGTGCGGGAGGCAGAATGCAACCTGTAGAAATGTGAACAGACCCATTGAAGTGTGTACAGGCATAGCACCTTCACAGTTCAGACTTGACACAGCAGTGCACAGGTGTCCATTTGTTTGCTCTGCAGCTGCAGTCTGTGTTGCTTTATGTTTGTCTGTGTGGCTCCCTGCTGGAGTGCTGCATCCGTATGTTGTCTGTCTGTCTGTGTCCTTCACACTGAGTTCTGAAGTGTCACCTGCAACATGTCAACCCACACCGCTCCAGCTTCTTCACTCTCTCTCTCCGTAACACCACAGTCCTCATGCGAACACCGTCGACCAGCGTTTCACCTTCAGTCAATGGCAACTATAACCATTGTGATTGACAATAAAGTCTGCTTGAGAAGATATTATCTGAAGATACATTTAAATTCAGCTGTAGTATTCACATTGACTGAAAGTGAGCTGGATGTATTTCCATTTGAACGCACTGTGTTTAACCCTAACTCTCCCATGACAGCTACAGTATAAAACAAGAATTTAATACTTTCTAAGCACATGTGAGTCATTCTGCTTCTCTGGGACAACAACAGAAAAAAAAAAACATTCTGTATTAGATTTCTCACTCAAATATAATGAGGATGTACATGTGAGTGTTGCAGCTGCTCACATAGCATAATACATAAAAGGGAATTCTCCAAAAGCAATTTCAAGATTTTGTTTAAAAAAATGTAGGATGGTAACCTATAAAATAGCTTCAAATAAACCAAATGTTCAAACCATCACAGTTTTAATCAAAGTCAATAAATATCTGAAAACCATTCTGTCACTCAAGTCGGGTGGTTGCTTGCAGCACTTTATATATATTAATATATATTTTTCAGTTAACCAAAAGTTTTGATATTAAGATGCTTTACAACATGCAGTCAGAACTTAACTATTAAGTGACTTCTCAAGCATTTCTGCTTTTTGATTTGTTGGTGTGTATGATGCTTTTTTTAGTCACATGTTTTTAGGACATGTCAGGATATACTGTTTAGGCAACTCAGGACACCATGACTGCCGTAAAGGAGAAGTCCAGTGTAGACACAGGATGGTAGAGGTAAAAAAAGAAATGTGATCCATCGCAGAAGTTAAATTACTCACCAGACTTAAATAAAAAAGAAAGAAAATATAGTACAGTATATGCACAGACCTGTTTCAACCTCAAAATTCAAATGTTTAAAATATTTCCTTTTGAAGAGGAAACTACCATTTTTGATGTTAACCATATTTTCACGTCAACATGAGCTTGTTTTCACTCCTTTGGTTGCAGAGCCAAGACGCACATTAGTTCTGCCCTTGCTCGATCTGTGCAAAGCGTCCCTTCAATATATTTCACTGACCTTCATGCTGCTGCTCAGTGACATGCTCAGACTTTGAAATATGTCCTACATGCGTGGTAGTGTGTTTCACAGCCACAAATCTCAGTTGTATAAAACAGGAAAATCAGAGCTCCTGAGTGCAACCATTTTAATTCTAATTCAAATGTCAGACTGAATATTCTTTAGAATGAAATGTCCATTGCTCTTTGAAAGGCTGGACTTATTTGATTATGCTTATCATCTATCGCAATCATTTCTGGGAAAAAATATCCTCCTATATTTTGAGAGGCCTACCTTAATATCTTCAATGATGCACCAAGTTAGAGTTTTCCTTGTTCAGTTTACAGCTTTAGCTCTATTATAATTTATTTCATATCCAGGCAAAATTAGTATTGTTCAATGAAATATCCTTAAATAATATTAATATTGAATCATAACCAATCATTGGCTTAGCCAAGAGAGAAGAAGACTGGGCATTGACTAGGCAGTGTGATATGTGGAGTATGCTCTGTGATTATAAAAGGGATCTCTGTTCTCCACATACTCTTACGTACGCTCTGCCAGTGACAACACACACATCCGCCTGAACGATGAACCTGAACAGTTCAAATTTCCGCCTCTGGATGAGAGTGTAGAGACTGATGCCATAAATAATCAACTGAAAAGTGAGCAAACAGCTGTGTAATGGATAAGATGCTGCCTGCTTCAAATGATAGGAGGTTCAATCATACTCTGGTTATCTATAAGAGCAGCGGGGCAGTGTGATTCTGCAGAAATATCCCTGCCAGCTGCGGTTACTTATGACTCATCCCCAATGTATTGAGGTCACAGTGTAAATATACATCTGCACACATTAAACAGGCATGTTCAAACTAGCTTGATGTATGAGCATCATGGCGGCCGTGAGTGTTCTTAGTCACTGGGCTCTTCCACTGCACATATAGATAGACACTCAGTCGGCTCAAGGCTGATGTGGCGTCCAGTCTTCTTCAGGATGCAAGGACCTTTCCATCAGCACTTTTAAATCCCACATCCCCTCTCCTCCTCCGTGTGTCTCCCCTCCATCCAATATTGTTGCCCAGGTAACGGCTCATTGATGTGAGGGAGAGTAAAGACCGGTGTTTTGAAGGACGGGCTGATCATTACTAAAAGGAAGGAAGGAATGTTTACTTTAGCCTCCGCTCCACCCACTACACTCAACAACAGCTTGTGCAGTGAATGGAAGGAGAGACCTGTGTCTGCGTTACCTCTGCAACCTGTGATCACATATCAATATGAGACTTTAATGAAAGACTTCACACCGGGTCACTTCTGTCTCTGACAAAAAACTTTGTAGCTCTGTTGACAGGCGTGTGCGCATGCTAATGCTGATGCTGGGGGCATAGTTGCCATGGAAACCCATTTTTCCTGCCTCACCTGATATAGACGCAGTGATCTTGTGTGTGAAAGGAAACCAAGAATAGCGGAAAAGAGGACAGAAGGCACCTTGCCTGACAGTTTCATACACTGTAGCTCTCATGTAACATATCTGTTACATCTAACATGATTAAGTTAATTATCATTTAAGAGTTTATTTAAAACTTAAAAGTGAGTTTTAAAATGTCTGTATGTGGCCACATTTAAAGAGCACAGCTGTGGGGTCCAGTATATTTGGCTGATATAAATCTTCACAGAACACTTTATGTACTCAACACAGCAAACTTACGCAATACAGAAAATTTCCAGGTTTCGTTTTCGGAACATCTTGGCCTAAATGAAAATGCATGGTCTGCAATCTGCATCTGCAACACCATGTTCTTTGCTGGGGTTGAACATTAGAAATCCCAGGAGGGTCCCTGTTTTCCAAGCAGGCACATTTATTCCACACTGAGATTGTCCTGAGTGCCAAGACTTGTACAGAGAGGAGCGATACTCTGATGACAGAAGGTGTGGAGAGAGGAGCAGCATGCACTGTAGAGGCTGGTGTAAATGTATTCCATGCAGCTGCTGTCAGTCAAGTCAAAGTTAACTCACTATAATGTTCCATAATGAACTGGCTGACATTTAGATCTGTAACATGTCCACCCAGGCCAGTCGTCATGCAGTGAGAAATGTACCCGGCAAGAAAAATAGATTGCCAGTATGGATTTGTAAGAACATGATGGTAGTTTGCATATTAGACAAATTAACATTTTAACTTGTATCACCTTCTTCCTGGGCAGCGAGTGAGGCTTGACCTAGATATGAACACAGTGCGACTAGAAGGTCATTTGTCATTTAAGATGAATCAGTGGCATCTAATTTTAAATCATTGAATATGTTTAAAAACAGGCTCTGTGCTGATCCATTTTAACCTCAGTGGATTATTATTTTGGCGAGACAATGTTGTCCCAGACCTCTCTCCTGTGCTGATGTTGGTTTAATGAAAGCGGCAGCATTGAAATATGCTGAAAAACAGCCTCACAATTATTAAAGACATATTTCAATATGTCACCTGAAGCAGATCAGTGCTGGAATCAAGACTCATGAAGTCGGCTTTAAAGCTTCTGGGTTGCATTAACTGATCAAAGCCACCAATCCCCCAATAAACATTCAATATTTATGGATTGTGAATTAAGTTCAGGCTGATCCATAACAGACGCTGCTGGAATTAGAACTGGCATAAACAAAAGTTTTTCAACGACAGGCTAAGATACATGGTGTTTGCTTCCTGTCACAGCACATCTGCCTTACTTCCCCACTGGCTGCAAAACAAAATGTCTTATTAACTTGAGAACACAGACCAGGCAATGAATGCCAGGCAGAAGGACAGACTGCTGAAGCTGTAGCAAGGGATGTAGCAACACTTAAATCAAGGGCATCACTCACTTTTTCCGTCAAGGTAGTACATTATTGTTGCAGACACAGTAATCTCCTTTATATACTTAATATTCTCCTAATTCTAGTACAATAGCGATGAACACTAATGTCTCATGTGTGAAAAAGCAGAGTTTGAAAGAGCCTAATTGAAGTAATTGATGGAATCAATTGTTGCAATGCATTTATTCTTCTACCATTTCATTTAGGGTTTCTCGCCATAAGTTCTCTTCACCTGACACTTTAACAGTGGAGGTGGGACACTTTAATTAATGAATAGTAGCCTGAGGGCACTTCATGTAACTCATCCTATTAAGAATACAGGACCTACGATAGAATGTAATTTGTCTCCTAAAGATAATTTTACTGGCAGAGCTGAAATAAGGCCTTAATGTGGCCAATTTCTTTCAAATAGAAGGAACTGTGGAATAATAATCCAGCAGTGTGTTCATGACCCAGGTACAGAGAAGTTGCACATTATTTTCTATCTTCAGGTAAGCAAGAGCGCACTGGTAGAATGAAACTGCTTTTATGTTAACCTTTATGTAAGAAAAAATAAAGACATTATTAGCATTAAAACAATTGTGGAACATAATGTAGAATTTATTGAAACAAAAGAAAAACAGTGAAGTGTTTTGAAATGTCGGAAATAGCAATCTTAAAGATGCTGAGCTTTAGGCCACTGGAGTTCTTCCTCAAAGATGAAGTTGTTATGGAATAGTAAATATTCACATTTTTATTTTAAGGACTTTGTGTCCACGTTGGCTCAAAAGCCAATCTTAGGCAGAATCGCACCAACAAAGGCAGCAAAGAAGACAATAAATACAAAGTAGACGTTGATGTAAAAATGTATGATTTCAAGAAAAGTTGACCTGATGCATTTTGACATGTTTACAAGAAAGCTATAGGGCAAAAACAACTAAGACACAGAAAACATGGAGACCTACCAAGAGTTTCAGTCAGTGCTGATATTTGTTATCATCTAAAACCTTCAGGAAAGCTCAAATATTCCTAATGGTTAGGAAGCATGCATGTGTTCCCTTACTTGTTGTGTTTGTAACAATATAACAGAAGTGAAAAATCCAACTTATACTAACAAAAGGTCATAGAAAGTAATAGTACTCATCTACAGTATGTCCCATTTAAAGCCGAAACTATACTGTAATATACTGTCATGACATCCTGTACCTGAACTCTGTCCTTTTCTCCTCTTCACCCCACAACCTGCCATCTCCTGTCCTCTTTTCTTTCCTCTTCCACCCTCCTCTCCTGTTTCCTTCTCCATCATTTCTCCTTCCACATCCACTGGCCTCCTCTCTCCTCTGTCCTGTCCTCTCTCCTATGACCTGTCCTCTCTCCTCTGTCCTTGCCTGCCCCCCCTATCAATGGTGGTGGCTGACAGTGACTTTGCATCCAAAATGAAAAACAGGCAAATGGGCTCGACAGGCGGGATGAACATCACCAAGAGCACAAGCATCAGTGGCGACATGTGTAACCTGGAGAAGACGGACGGCAGCCAGTCGGACACGGCGGTTGGCACGGTAGGCACTGACGACAAGAAGAGGCGCTCCAGCATTGGTGCCAAAATGCAGGCCATGGTTGGCATGTCGCGCAAGAGCCGGAGCACCTCTCAGCTCAGCCAAACAGGTAGGACAAGAGAAGAGTACGAGCGTTCATATGTGAGGAGCATCTGTCCCTGTCCCTGTCGCTGTCTGTCCTGAATGTTGAGTTCTAATGCCGCAGAGCTTTCTTCTCCAGTTCCTTCCTTCTCCCCACCCTTTTTGAATCTAGCACTCTTTTCTGGAGGTCAAGACAGCAGAATGACTTTTTCCCTCTTTCTTCTAGGAAGCAACTCTCCTGGAAATTCCTCCCTCTCTACCCTACCTCCATGTTTTTCTTACCTTTCCTATTTCACCACTGCAGCTGTGTATTCGCACTTAATTTCATTGATTTATTGTGCTTCTGCAGTGACACTTTCTCATTTCATTTTGGAAAATGTGTTACTGCTATAACTGCTTTATTTCTGCCACCGACGACCTCAGCTGCTTGTAGCTGGTCACGTTTTGTCACCTCTCTCGTGTTGTGATGCTGTCTGTGAAAGTGTGTGTTAAACGCTACTTCACATGAAGGTGTTTCTGAGTGCATGTGAGAATGCGTGCACCTGCAAGATATAGTCGAGAAGGGGTGTGTTGTGTTGGTGTTTTCAAACCTATTTTCTTTTAGCTAAATGCAGTATTTTTATGCAGTAGAAAGAGGGCTGTTACTTTTTCTATCCTACTTTCTTCTCCAAAGCGCTCAGTTACCCTTTTAGAGAAGTTGGCTGGTTCACTGCTAGACAGCGTGAAAAAAAAAGGCTAGCAGGTGGCGTGCAGTGATGTTTGTGGCCAACAGATTGGGCTTTGGTCTTTTCACATGAAGAGCCTTTTCATCTTGATCTATTCAACCTTAGAGTGGTCAATAATCACTTCGACCCATCAGCACTCTGTCCGGGGTGACTCAATAGCATGGCAGAGGGAATGAGAGAGATGTGTGGAGAAAGAGATGTTGGATGAGATGAGTACGAAAGGAGCGATGCAGTGCTCTCACGTGCCGCTGCCCTGCCCCCCCCCCAGTCTGTAATTAGACTGGCACATGTGCTGCTGCTTCCTCATCTCTTTAAGTAAATGCTTTGTACTAATTGTTAATCATGTCATTGTATCAACCAGTTAATTTCATTCTTATTGAAAAATTATTCATCCATGATATGGATGTTGGAAAATAGAGGATGATTTGTTTATAATGTGTTATTAAGCAGATCTCTATGTCTCATGTTGTCTTCACACGATCACAGGAACAAAGCTACACACACATGCACACACTCTTCCCCTATGCACACACAGGGCAGCTTGAATCTCATGGAGCTATCAATATTTCACTCAATGCCTCAGATAGAGTTTGTGAAAGTGTGCATACATCTGCCATCTGTATTTGGTTCTGCACGACCATCAACACTGCCAAGATGCATTCTGCCCTACTTTGTTGTGCACCGTCCTGAGAGGCGCATCGCCGTCTATAAGGGTGCATTCAAAGGATGGCCGACTTTAAGAGGCTGTTCAGCACTTTGTGTCCACTGCCAAAGATGGGGGGGTGAATGAGCAGATCAGCCAGGCAGCACGACTCTAGCACTGACAAACACCGGTCAGCCTGATGGAAATGGATATATTCTCCCAGGTGGCCACCATGAGTGTGTACACAGTTTGCAGTTCTTGGTTTGAACTGCTGAAGGCACTTGACTTTTTGTGAAATACAAATATATCACGTTGTCTGTATAAACATTTGTCAAACTGTGATAAGGGGAAAAGTACTTTGAACAGAAGTCTACAACAGGACTTGACACTGAATGCAGGGAGGCAGAACACAGCAAAATTGACAAGACTTTACAACAAATGGCGTCCTTCATATGTATGTATGCATCCTGCATGGCATCCAGCAGTAACTGTTGACAAATAGCAGTGAACAGTAATAAGACACTAGGACATGTTTTTCTTTGATGGAGACTGAGCTTGTTGCTGGAACTGATTCATTATTGAGTTCATGTGATTTCATTAATCATTGACAAAACAGGGCATGTTGCAATGAAGCAGTTCAGCTGGAGACAAAGTACAGTAACAGTTCTGTGACCAAAAGAGAGCAAGATTCAAGAACTGACTAGAGTAATACATTTTCCCATGAGGAAATTGGTAATTGCAATGTGGTTGCCAGGGAACAGAGACGTTTTACAGCCAGTGCTTAATTTATAAAATTTGACTTAAACAATAAAAAAAAATATTTCAGAACATAATGAAAATGGTGATGAATAATACTCAGGTTATTTACACATGATCGTTTAGGTCTGGATTGATCGTAAGCAAGCTGAAAAATCTGGTTGATTTATTAAGTTTATTGTCTCATCCACCATTTAGCTCCAGTCCTTGGTACATTATGTTTAAACTCAGGAGCGAGCAGATTTATTCCCCACCAACCAAACTGCTGCAACACAGTCTGACTCAGCTGGAATATACAGTAACACTGAAACGTAGCAAGCTCATTGAAAATCAATTTGCATACGCTTATCTGCACACTTCTTTGAAGAGTTACCTTCAGACTGGCATCTAAAAGCAGACCTGATGTTCTATATTAATTCCAGTGCTTCTTTATCCTCAGTGGGAAGGCCGTCATGAAATGTATGCTGATGGAGATGTTGTCAGCAGTTTACACAACCTGCTGTTTATATTTTCATTATAGTTTTACTGTGAATCACACACACAAACACATGTTCCGTCGAAATATGTGTTGGTCGATAGAACATGAGATACAAAAACCTTATTCTCCAGTATCACTCATGGTGAAAGCATCACAGTGTGGGACCTTTTACATTATAACTCAGGACAGTGCCATTGTTTGACATCTAGCAGATTTGTGTAGTTTTATTTGCAGAGAGGGTTTTGTTGTGTACGCACTCAGCTGAATTTAAAATGAGCGTCCTGCGCTGCACTCTGCTGAGCACTCTGTTCCATTTCTTTATGTGAATTATTGAGGATTATTTGTGCTCCTTGGTTGGAACAATATAATAAGTCTCCTCCCATTATGTTCAATAGGAATATCAGTAAGGCAGCTCTTTCAGTCCAATCAGGTATTTATTTGTTCTTTTTGCAAATTATGAGGAATATGAGGACTCTCTCTTGTTCACTACAGAATCATTATATCCAGAAATCTGTTTCTGTAGCTCTACTCTATAATCTGTTTACAAGTCCTGACAGTGTCCCAGAAAAATAACCAACAGCAAGATTTACAGCTCAGCACCAGCCACTGACTATTAAGGCTGAGGAGGTGAACAGTGCAGGAGACGCAGGAAATTGGGCTTTAATAGGCAAAAACAGGCACGCCTACCTGCAGTGATAGGGAAAGGGAATCAATGTGGCGGATTCAGTGTATGTGGTCTAATTGAAATACCCAGCTTCCTGTTTCCCTGGGTACAACCTTGAGTATTCTGTGATTCTTCTTACATCCCCCTTTTTGTTACCTGATTCTGGAAGAAATTTGCCGTTTGGATCAAAAATGATCCTCAGAGCTTGAACCTTGTGCAAGATGGATTAATGGATGCTGCTTCTGTAACCTGCAAGAACCCTGTGACATCAGTGTCCTACTTTTTTTCATAAGGCAAGAAAAGGTTTGATCAAGTGCTGCTGCCAACACTCAGCTGTTAGATAACTGTTCATACTGTACGCACACTACACTGTTCAGCTATTACATACATGAAGAATTTCAGCATTCAGCATCTACTGACAGATTTCCTCTATTCTGAGAGCGTAATGTTCCCTCGTGAAAGAGAGAGAATCTATACTACCTTTCCTATAAGGCCGACAATATCCAGATGTATACAGGAGAGAGAACAAATCATTGGCCCGCTCCTTTCTCTCTGCTCTCTAACCTACACCAGATACTGACGTTGTTTTTGGACCTCCAGTCTTCACACGGACTGTTTTCTTTGTGATAAAGTAGCTGAACTTTGAGCTTTCAGCTGAGGTAATTTGTCTTCTGTGTTGACTTGGGTGCCTATCTCAGCAGCTCTTCCAATTGCTGAGGCCGCTAATTAATCTCCTAGGGCCCAGAGCAGACATGCTGCTCTCAGGATGATGCATGAAAAGAACACAGCGGCACAGGTACAAGTAAAGGATGAGGGACACGAGAGTCCTGCACTGCTTTCTTCTCATCCCTCTCTCTTTACTTAGCCTCGAGTTCTAACTGATATTTGTCTGGTATTCATCTATCTTTACATCGCTTCTGTGTTCTTCTTCACGTTCTCATCTCACCTTGTCTTCTCTCCTTCACTTCTCCCACAGGATTTAAAGAATAATTTCCTGTCTGTCTCTCCCTCTGCTACTCTTTCCCCTGTGTTCTTTTCCTCCAACTCAATTACAACATCCACAGAGGGACTCATGGCTGTTAATCAGCCTGAGCTCTCAGATGAGCATCTCTGCAGTGACCTAAATATGTGTGGCTGTAGTGTAGGAGATGTGCTGGTTTTAAAAGTTCTAATTCTATTATTGGATCCATTGCAATAAACCAGGGATGAAGATGGTCAGCATGAGCACAAGTAACCTAGATACAGGCACTTAAGAACAGAAAATCCTTCAGATACTTTCCATAGGTTCTTCTTTTTCACAGTTTTCTGTTGCTGTTGTTGTACTAGCCCACTAAGGTTAACCACTGCAATTTTCAAAATCTGGTTGTAACCAGATATCATAGTGGGACTGTCACTGAGGATTTGGACTTGAGATCTCATCTCATATATCTTTTCAGATGAAGCATCTGTGATCTGATCCATTTATTTGTAAAGCTTCTACTCATTCTCCTTCTACTCATAAACCTTACTGCATTTAAAGCAGACACATCTAATTGTTAGCATTTGCAATAATGCCTTAGTCTATTTCTTCTACACTTAAAGGCTGTTGCACATGTTCTCCCTACACGCAGTGTAGCATGTTGATGCAAAGAGGGCTTAGTGTTTGCAGGGTATGGTATCTGTTCCCATGGTCACCATACATCTTCTCTCAGGCTCTGTGCACCTGGAGCAGAATCAGTATTAAACACAAAGACACATTTGGCCTGCATTGTACAATCATATA